AAAATAAAAATAATATTGAAATTTTCCGAAGGACTATCATGCTCCGTAGCGACGCCCGAGCTGCGGGAAGCTTTTGTGGATTTGGGTTGTGTCCAGCAGGGCGATCACCCACGTGGATTTTTTCAAGTCATCGACACGAGGCTAATCACCCGGTATGACAAATTAATGGCTTGAAACCCACGGGATGAGATTTACGCAACCGCAGCATCTGTCGTCTACTGGCGGACTTCACCGCTACAAACACCCCGAACCATCACTACCTCTTTGGAAAATTGATAAGATCCAATATTTCCTAACGGCGCATTACCATTCAAACGAACGTGACAGTACATGGGTGTCACATTCGTTTGGATGTGAACGACATGTGTATTTGGGGACCCTGTGTCAAACGTTTTTAAAGTGACAGTTCGACAGCTGATTGGTGTCACACCCGAAGCGGTGCGGTTTCACATTCGTTTGAATGTTGATTTTTACCGTTTGTCACGCTCAAACTAACATCGCCGTTTTCACGTGAAGACAAACGTGACGTCACATTCCTTAGCTACCAGTGCCGTTATGGAAATATTGGATGCTTATCAATTTTCCAAAGAGGAAGTTATGGTTTGTGGTGTGTGTAGCGGTGAAGTCCGCTAGCAGACGACAGATGTTGTGGTTGCGTAAATTTTTAAATCGACTAACGTAGCCTCAACCGTGGATTTGAGAGCAGCACTTAATTTGTCATACCGGGCCATTAGCCTCGCGTAAATTAGTTGAATAAACCCACGTGGGTGATATCCAGCTTGACACAACCCAAAGCCACCTAAGCTTGCCGCAGCTCGGGGGGTCACTACGAAGCATGATCGCCCTTTCCCGGACAATTTCAATATTATTTTCATTATTTTATTTTTTTGGGAATAATTACCAATAATTTGTAATAATTTTACATAATTCACAATTAATCGGGAGTGGCTCACTGTATCCCCGCACGCCTGAACCAAATCATTCTTTATCAATTTTCTCACTAAACATAAAATAATCATCAAAATTACAAAATTATCTGAGATTATTACAAAATATTGCTAATTAATTGAAATTTAAACAGTATTAATACAAGTAAATAATTTTTTATCATTTTATCTCAAAAGTTTTGGGGTGAGGTGATTTGGGGGGTTTTTAGGGACTCTTTCCCGGTGGGGGGAATTTACATTGCGAGATTGGGGGGTGGAGATCTGTTGGGTCAGGCTATGATCTGGCACGAGTAGCGTAATATCAGCTGCGTTAGAGTACTTAAGAACTCGTCACGAGAGTGCAAGATCTGCCCCGTTAGAGTAGGATCTGTCTCGAGTAGCGTAGGATCTGCGGCGTTAGAGTAAGATCTGTCAAAAGAAAAAAACGTTTAATCCCCCGTAAGACTAAGAACTTGTCATGTGAAGTAAGATCTGCCACCTAAGAGGATGATCTGTCACGAGCAGCATAGGATCGGCCGCTTTAGAGTAAAATCTGAAACGAGTACCCTAAGATCTGCTGCGTTGGAGAATGATCTCTTACGAGTAGCGTGAGATCTGCCACGTTAGAGTAAGAATATTGCGTTAGAGTATTTATTTGTCGCGAGTAGGGTAAGGTCTGTCACAAATCCGTTTGGTTTGGTTAGGATAGGTTGGACCTTTTTGTTTAGGTGATATGCCTCTCGTCTGACGGCTCGGTTTCCCAAATTTAAATATCAGACGCAATCACGATCTGCAGATTCGGATTTAGTTGGGTAATTGATAGCACGCTGTCACCCGCCTGGGAGCAGTCAACCACAAGCCTCACCTTACTGAAAAATATGTGATAAAATAATAATTTAATTGAAATAATACTGATAAATTTCAATTAATTAGAAATATTTTGGAGAAATTTCAGAAAATTTTTGGGAAATTTTTGATGATTATTTTATTTTTAATTTGCAAATTGTTTAAAGAATAATTTGGGTTTAGGCGTGCGGGGATACAGTAAAAACCTCCCAATTAATCATAATTTATTCAATTTAAAGGGGAAAAAATTTTGGGTCAGTTGTGCGTTATTTACTGAGGCCATCTCGTCCGTTTGACAAATTGGCAAAAGATAAATCAACTTGTGTTTTTATGAATCTAGTGTAGAAAGAACACTCAAAATTAACCTCCCCTTAATTTTAAATTTTTAATTTGGAAAAAAAAGCTAAGTCCAAAAAATACACCAGAGTAACATACACTTTATGCAGAATATTGTTCCACTTGACTTGTCTCCAAATTCCTCTTTGTTTAGGAAAAATAAAGGGGAGTGACTCTGTTTTCCATTTCAACGGAAAGTGATAAGTCCCCAGAAATCATCTACGGATTTACCTTACACTTTTGATTTTTTTCCAAAAAATTTTCTAATGCTTTTTGAAATTATTAACATTTGCAACATTCATTTGTTTTGTTTTTTCTTTTTCCCCCCCTCTGTTTCTCCTGAAAAATGGCCAAAATTGAGTTATCCCCTTCTTCCGCTTCCTGGATCATTTGAAAGCTGAGAATTAACTTTTCGTGCCCGTCGAGGGGGTATGCACTCGCGTAATAGTCGGTACACCTGTCCAGTAATAGCGGTGTAATACTCGCGTAATACCTGTAATATTACGTAATAGGTGTATTACTACTGTAAGGGACGTTATGAGCGTAATAGGCGTAATGTCCCGGGGGTAATACCCGCGTAATAGCCGCGTAATAGCCGCGTAATAGACGCACCGAATGACTAGTATTGCCGTTTTGGAGATACCCCGCGCTCGGCTGCTGTCCTTCCCTGCGCGAGAGGGGGGACAGAGGAGGGGGGCCGGGTGTGGGGTGGGTAGCGGCGTGGTTGTGGTGGTGGAGGGGAAGGTGAGGCGAAGACGCAGAGCGCGCGGGAACTGCCGGACGAGTACTTTTGAATACACCGTTTTGATTTGTAGGTATCTGATTTTTCGAGTGAATCTATATCTTTGAATCTTAAAAGTCTTATCTATGTGTGATACGATTCAGGAAAGAACACGTTTTTGATGTTCATAAAAGAGTCCATTTGCTTTCCATTTGCTTATGTGCCTAACCTCTTGGTGCTGATGCCTTTTCTGTCGAATGAGGAATTATTTTGTGAAATAACAACGCGGTGGGGAAAAGGGGGTTCTCCTTGACTTGATTTTACCGCTGGTTTCTAGGTTCACGAAAAAAGTCTAAACGGAAGATGTCGTGGGCCGAGGAGCCCACAGATCCTAGAGAGCCCACAGACCCTGGAGAGCCAACAGACACTGCAGAGGCAACCAAGACTGCAAAGCCCTCAGAGTCCCAGCCACCCGGCTCTGCAGCAGAGCATACACATGTGAGTAAATATTTCTCACAGGTTTTCCTATTACATTATTCTGACTTGGAATCAAACGTTTTAATTTGTCACAGGTAGCAATGAGTGGTGAACCTATGTGGGAGGTATTTGCTAGTAAGGGGTGATCATCGACCCTGAACTGAAAGAAATTCTAAAAGCTAGAAAATTTGACAATTTAAATGTACTTGCCAAGTTCTCCAAAGGTGATGAAGACACTTTAATTTCATTCATGAAGGATACATTCCACCGTTTAATCAAGGAAGATGAGCGAAAAAAAATATTATGGAGTCTTTAAAAACAACCCTGATTTGTTTATTTTTGTTGGAGGCCAAGCTAAAACTTTAGATATGATTCAGAGGACTGCCAAGAAACTTGTAACTCAGCAGAGCAATCGTCGTTTCCTATTTGATCAACAAGTTGCTCCTAGTAAAAGAAAATTGAAGTCTACTTCGGTATCCATTCAAAGCACAGGACAAAGTATTTCTGCTCGTGCTGTTGAACTTGGCTCCAAACTTGACATAAGTATTAATGCATACCTGAAGGAGAATTTTGAAGGAGAATTCAATACCCAATCCAAAGTTGCTCAAATGGATTGGGTTATTATGTGGCATCAAGCCCGTGCCCAATCTGCTCAAAGGCGACTAGAATTTCAAGAAATAAAACCCGGTATGTTATAGTGATTTTTGCACACTGTCATTCTAGTTGCCACATTAGGGTTTGGTTATGGCTTTATTTCACTGGCACTTGAAGAGGCGGAGGTGTGCAGGGAAGAACTTTATTTGGACTGAACAGTTTGCGCAGCTAGAAATTAGCGGTGACTGCAGGGCCAGGCTACTCCAAATCTTTTTAAGCACAAAGGTGACTCTGCGTGCATTCTGTGTTGTCCCATTTCAATTGCAAGCAATCACAAACAGAAAATTACTTCTTTTAAAAGTGTGGTTTAAACATGCATTCCTTCAAAGTTGCTTTTTTTTTTTTCAATTGTTAACATATGAAATGGGCCACACACAATGCATGGAGATACCTGCTTTATGTATGGGGACAAAGTTGGGTATGCATTGAAAGTCTTTGCTTCACACTAGCTGCCCAAACCATTGCCAAAGAAAATTTTTCCTCTGTGGACTTGCGCCAGTTTTTCTAAAGGACCAGTGAATATCTTTTGGGAATGATACTTGTACAAATTATATCTTTTTATTCATGCGTGAACATTTTGTTTTTGCAGGTGGAACACCCTAACTATTATTCCCACCTAAGGACACATGTGCCCCCCTGAACAGAGTGGAAATAAGAGGGCCCCCGTCACTCCTTAGTTATATTTCGAGAGCTTCTTCCTCAACGACTTCGCCTTCAAGTAAGAATCTTATCCCTCTTCGCCCATCTGGAGGGACGGCAAAGAGGAGGAGACTACATACTCTCTGGGAAGAAGAAAATCCAGACGATGAAGGTTTAGATTCAGGAGATTCAAGTGGAACCCACGCTAAGGAGAAGAGTGCAGAGAGTAACACAACTATAGAAATTCAAGATGATGATGGTACTAATGATAATACTAATGAGAATACAAATGAGAATACTAATGAGAATACTAATGATAATACTAATGAGAATACTAATGATAATACTAATATGAGCCAAAGTCAAAATTTTCAATAGGCGAAGAAAATGGTGAGGCGGAAAATTTTCTTCGCCCAAAGACAGAAAACATTCGCATCTGTCAAAGCCGCCAAGAAAGAACAAGGAGCAAATTGAATGAAGCAGCTGAATGTAGCCTCAAAATCACTGATTTCTTCCCAATTTTAAATGAGATGGAAATAATTTTGAAAGAAAACATTGAACTGAAAGAAAAACTTGCTGCCCAAATGAGTAATGTTTTAAAGATGGATTCACCACCTACTGAATTTGGTATGCTAAATTTGCTTCTAGAGTGTGCAAAGAGCAATGCGGGTAAGAAACCTGGTGGTTGGCGCTTTCATGAGGTGGTAAAAGAGCTTGCCTTTCTTATTTACTCTCTTGGAGGCCTAGCACTTTATGAGGTGTTATGCTACAAGCAAAATTTCCCATTTCCTTCCATAACAACCATCAGAAGAAAAATTTACTGCAATGACAAATTTGTTGAAGGTGTCTTCCGTATCAAGCAGCTAAAGCAGTTTTTGATTCTTCATGAATGCCCCCTGACAGTCCATCTGTGCGAAGATGCTACTGTAGTCACTGGACGGATACAATATGACTCTGCCAGTAATCAAATTGTTGGACCAACATTACCACTAGATTCAAATGGTCTTCCCATTATTGGAAGTTTCCCAGCAACCAGTGCTTCTAAAATTGCTGAATACTTTGAAAAATATGACACAAGCAGGTATGCCTATTGCATAATGGCAGTCCCTTTGAAGCAAGGTGCCCCTTCATTCTGCCTAAGTTTGTATGGGACTAACAACAAATTTAAGGCGTCAGATGTTAAAAGCAGACTAGCATGGACTCAAGAAGCACTCCACAAAGAAGGTACTTATATTCAATTTTATTTTTAAAACTTATAGATTTCTTCAAAAATTTGTTACAGTTAAACAACAAATCACTATCTTAATTATCCTTTTTTTTTCAGGTATTCAAGTTATTAGCTTTGCATCAGATGGTGATACTAGACTGCTCTCAACTATGTATCAAAATCACCTAGTCTTCCTGATTGGCCTTGGTTCAGTGCCAAGAAGAAAGTAAAAGTTGTCTACTTTCAAGACCATATCCACATTTCTGCAAAGTTGAATCATCGCTTCTTGAAGGCTTCCATTATTTTGCCACTTGGGGACTACATTGCGAGCAGAGGGCACCTTGTGGAACTGATAAAAACTGTAAGCAAGGACCAGCATGAGCTAACAGAACTACACATTAATCCGAAAGATAAAATGAATTACAGAGCAGTGCAAAAGATAACTGATGAGAAAGTAACATTTCTGTTGCGTGCCAAAATTCCTGACAGTGAAGGCACAGCAACTTATTTAGATATGATCAGAGAAATCAACGACTCATTCACTAAACCTGAGTTAACACCACTTCAAAGAATCAAGTTAATTTGGAAGTGGGTTATTTTTCTCCGCCTATGGAGAAAGTACATTCTGGATTCCGGCGGAGACTACACTGTGAAAAATAATTTTATAAGCTCCAATGCTTATACATGCATTGAAATAAATGCGCATTGCTTGATTCAAATTATTATACTATTGAGAGATGGGGAAGAGCACTCATTGTTCCAGCCATGGAAATTGTCCAGTCAAGAGGATGAAAAATCTTTGCATTCTGCGCTCAGCTCTTGCTTCAAAGTGTGGTGCATCTGCATTTTCTATTCTTGACTTGCAGTATCACTTTCGAAGACTGGACTTGCTATCTTCTACTTATGTTAATCTGTCCAAATGTTTTTCTTTTTCCCAGACATTTTAAAGCAGCTGTTTTAAGTGAAGAGGCTCCTCATGTTCCCATTTGCTTGCCTGAGGATTTTGAGATAGAAGCAGCAGTCTCCGTTGCCATCCAAGAAGGCATGGACTTGGCAAAAAAATTCCATCTCATCCATCGTAACTCAAGACTGGTAATTCCACAAACCCATTTAAAGACAAGAGCTGAAGCTGAGAGTGAACTTATTGATGATGATGATGATGATGATGATGATGAAGCATACATTGACCATGAGCTGATGGATGTGGATAGCGATACTGATGAAACATTTACTGCAGCGGACCTAGAAGTGCAGGAAGAAAGCACCCATGAAGTCTTAGAAGATTTATTCATAGTTTCTTCTGGTGCACTGGGTGTCAAGAAATATAATAATGTGCCCCTGACTGACAAAAGCCCTTTTGTTTTGGTAGGTGATGGGTTTGGAAATCCAAATATTATTAGGAAGTCTACTTTGTGCTGGATGCTCAGCAGTGGGGACACAAAGTTGAGCTCTGACCGGTTAAGTCGAGTAATGGCTGGGCCTATTCATCACTCTCTTTCACCAACGGGAAGCAGAAAAGCAAGTGCACCTGCAGCAGAAGAGGAAGTTCATGTTGGAGACTGGTGTGCCTTTAAAGAAGAAAACAGCATTGCTATAGGGAGAATACTGGCTTTTAGTTATCTTTCTGGTGCATCCCTCAAAAAGCAGGAGTATTCCAAACTTTCTTGCTCCAACCAAGCTCCAGAGCAAATTTCAAGAGGCCTAGGATGCATGTGCTCCTGGTTTTTATTTGAAAGGCAACAGTAAAGTACTCCACAAAACTGGCATGGATGTTCATGGTTATTATAGTGTGGATAAATACATTTGCACTCTACCCCGCCCAACACTGGACCGAGACCAACGTTTGATTTCAGCTTGCACTTTGAAAGACATTCTAAAATTTAAAAAGTAATGTTACTCTGTGATTGATTGCTGTGAGTTTAGTCTTTAGAAGATTTTCCCATAAGTATTATTGCCAATTTAAATGCCCTCAATTTTATTTGCCACTTTATCTCCTTGATATTTACTAGAATAGTAGTAATAAGATGAAAAAGAATTTTAATGACCAATTAAAAAGTTATGTTTTTAGTTCCTAAATGGAAGTTACCGTTTGACTGAATACTATTCCTCTACTTTTAAGTTTGAGCGGCATATTGTTATCCAGTATTTAATTTGAGGCAAAGTTTGCTTAAAATTTTCTAGAATAAGAACGACTGATTATCAGATAATTCTATTATATCATTCCTCTGGTTTTAAGTTTGAGAACATGTTACCGTGGGTAACAGGTGTTTGAGTACTTGTTGATTAATGTTACCCCCTGTATTTATTGTTTGAGGCAAAGTTCAGCTGACTTTTTTGAATGGAATGACTGATTATTAGATAATGATGATGAGAAAATAAATGATAGCTGTGGTACAAACTGGACTTGCGTCATATTCCTCAGTAACATTGCCCACAAATAAAAATAAACATCGACAAAATATGTGGCGAATTCAAGGTATAGCAGTAACTTGCAGTGGATGTGAAAGTTTGCCGCTTTTTGTTTGGAGACAAAATGAGACATCCCACCACAGACCCTTACCCAAAGAAAATTTGTGTTCTGGAGTCAGAGCACAGTTACTGGTAAGCGCAATTTATTATTGAAATCTTTCTCTCAAACCACAAGGTTAAAAAACAGTGAGCTCATTATAAATCTAGATGACTCCGAATTTCAGCAATCAAACAGAAAACCAATAAAAATTAAAAGTATGCTGGGGGTGTCAAATGGCTAAACAATATCTCAGATTTAAATTAAAGCCGAAGATCGAATGTTGCAGAAACTTTCAAAGACAAAGATAAACAATAACAGGACAAAACTGCTCGTCTGAACTTCTCATCCATGGCATGCCTATTTGCAGTAATCGTTATTAGCAGTCACCAGGGAATGTTTGGCGCGTGATTTTCAAACGCAGTATGCCTGTAATAGTCGCGTAATAGTCGCGTAATAGTCGCGTAATAGGCGTAATAGTCGCGTAATAGGCGTAATAGTCGCGTAATACTTGTAATAGGCGTAATACCTCGTAATAAAAATCTATTACGGTATTAGGGAGTAGTCGGTACGCAATTTTTGAGAGTGCATACCCCCTCGCATGATTTACTGTGCCTAGCTACAGTATTTACTATACCTGGTACAGGATATTCCTTACTCCACTCCTGTGCTACAGTAAATCCCGTTCAAAGTACAGCGGATTCTGTAAAAATGTACAGAAAATCCTGTACTCTGAACTACGGTGACAGCTGTACCAATCACTACAGGATTTACTGTGATTTTTCCCACAGTGCGTTTTGCGGCGCCGCCCTGTTAATCTAACGGATGCCACTACTAGTTAATACTATGAAAATACTTTTGAATTTCGATGATAATGAAGCAAAGGCTAAATTTACAATAATGTCAATGTTGAGCATGTTCCTATTACGGTTGAAATGAAATTGAGTTTTGCAACACGTCCTATACGGCTTCTCGCTTCCTGTTTCCAGGCAGCTAGCATGATTGGTGGTACTTGGTGACTTTGCATGGCTTATCATGAAACTCAGATAAAAATGATATCTTGAAATGAGCAAATTCACATGGACCAAGGCAAATTGACTGCCCCCTGAAGTTTATTATCCTTGATCCAAGTCAATCTTCTGGTTTCAAGAATAGTTTATCTGAGTGTGGTCGGTGGAAGAGTCTTCGAGTCCTCGCAATTTATAAGAGCTTTATTCTGGCCAGCCTGCATGGGACCACTCTAGAGTAGCACTTCTTCTCGTCGCTTCCCTGGCCAGTTCCTTTGAAGTCCGTCTTGCTTGCAGGTTCCGTGAAGGTGGAGCGTGAGGAACTCCCTTCGTGCGGAGGACGGGGTTCGCGACTGGACGGGAGGACGCCGGCCCTGGAGACGGAGGCGAGGGTGAGTGAGCAGCCAGGCCTTTGAGCTCGGTTACTTATTAGTGCCAAGAAACGACATGCTTCGTTTTTCGGTAGTACCATGCAGCTATCAATGCAGTGGCAAGTACACTCTAAAGTTGGCATGCCCTGAAGACTTTCATTCCAGGAACGTGACGTCACGTTGAAAGAGCGACAAAATGTCCCGTTCCTTTGAGCATTGAGTCACGTTCGTTTCAACGTGAATAAGCTATGTTATGGCAGATTCACTTCCAAACGAACGTGACACAATGGTCAAAGGAAAGTGACACTTTGTCACATTCATATCACTTACTTTTTTACTTTTTATAAGAGATTTGTCGTGCATTGTTACATTACATATTCGCAGTTACACCCACTAAATTATTATGGACTCTTTATGCAAAGTTATGCATGCACAGATACGTCCATATGTTACGTACAATATAATGCATCACTGTGTACATTTTATGCAATAAGACGCATAAAATGTACACAGTGATGCATAATTTTATACATACCTTATGAACGTTTCTGCGCATGCATAACTATGCATAAAAAATGCATCCTTATGCATTTAAAAATTCCATAAGAATTTGGTGTGCATTCAGTTGGGTCTGCCTTGTGGCTTTGCCCATCTTAGCTAATTTTATCTGCTAAAGTTATTCTAAACTGCTATTTCTAGGGTTCTAAACTAAGTTTGGGGAAGCCCTTCGGGGCTTCTGCACTGCAAAAAATCAGTGTCTGATACGGATCATGCTACTGCGTTCCGTATACCCCCTGAAATGGTGATACGGACATCTGCCGTACCACTCCTCTCAAAAAAGCCTGTGCTTCGTAAGCGTGGTACAGAAATTTAACGGAAAATGTACCGCTAATTTTAGACCGGAGGTTGCCGTTTCGGTTTTCCGTTTGTGAGAAAGTCCAAAATCCTCTACGCACAGTGAGGAACGGACGCTCCGTAACGCAAATTTCTGTAACGGATAACGTGTAACGGCCAGTCCGTATCCCTTGTCGCGGTTTACCACCACCTCGGGCTGCTCTCGTGTCACACTCGTTTGTGTCACACTCGAATGTGACAATGCTCAGAGGAATGTGACATGCAGTCACTTCCGATCCAACGTAATGTCAAGATCCTGGGATGCTTGCAGGCTCCGTGAAGGCGGAGGACGCAGAGAGCCCAGAGACTGGCGGCCGAGACCGCGGAGTGGACGAGGACGGCCATCCCGGAGGAGAGGGTAAGTGGGCAGCCTGCACTGCCATCGTCAGGTTCACTGGGTTGTATCTTTCGGTTTTCACTCTTCTTCGAGGCCTGTTTTATAATCGAGGCAAATTTGAGTGCCCTTCACGGAGTTTAAATGCTTTCAGTATTAATCAACTCGACTTTTCACGGTCATCTTACTATGAAAGAAGCATACATACAGAGTTCAATAATGTTTGCCGATTCGCATACAATTTGGTTCGGGTTAATTTCTCCTAACTCAATTAAATCGTCATTGAAAGTGCCTTTGGCTTGTGCTGGCGTTGCAGGCCCCGTCCCGGCGGAGACCCCGCAGCTGGTCATCAGCGGCACCTTCTCGCTGGCTGGCCCGGCCGGCGGTGCGGGGCAGGTGGAGCAGGCCTCGCGGCGGCAGCGAGGCGGGAAGGCGCGGCTCGCGTACAAGTGCGGGGAGTGCGGCAAGAGTTTCCGGGCCGAGGCGGACCTGCGGAAGCACCTGGCGGGGCACTCCAAGGCGGGGCGGCACGCGTGCGGAGTGTGCGGCAAGCAGTGGACTAAGGCTGCGGATCTGGAGAGGCACGCAAGGATCCACACCGGGGAGAGGCCGCACCAGTGTGACGAGTGTGGGAAGAAGTTCACTCTTAGCCAACACCTCACTCAGCACAAGAGGATCCATACTGGAGAGAAGCCGTACCAGTGTGACGAGTGTGGGAAGAAGTTTAACCGGGAACACAATCTCACTGTGCACAAGAGGATGCATTTTGGGGAGAAACCTTTCGAGTGTGACGTGTGCGAGAAGAAGTTCTCCCAGAAACATGTTCTAATCACACACAAGCGCACTCACACTGGGGAGAAGCCGTACGAGTGTGACGTATGTGGCAAGAAGTTCAATCAAGATGGCAACCTCACAGTGCACAAGAGGATCCACACTAGAGAGAAGTCTTACGTGTGCAAGGTGAGCGGGAAGAAGTTCCGACAGCAGTCAGCACTACGCACTCATGAGTCCATTCACTGAGGGCAGTAGTTAAGTGTGAAGTTGTGCAAGTGCGGCGTTTGTGGAAAGCTGTGAGGCAAAGGTCACTTTCGCTTTGACGCGGCGGAGAGGACTTTTGAATGCGACGTGGCCAGGAAGTACTTATATCGTCATTGGCGCAAGCGCACTCTTTCGCAAATACTGCTCAAAAACTTTTTTTTAATGATTATTTTTTGAAAGCGAATATATGGTTTTCTCTGACATGTTGTGCCGCATTTATCGGCTTTACTCATTTGACACTTAACTTTCGCATCGCACAGCAATATTTTGTCATTAATAAATATAGTTTCTATTCTGAATTTGTAAGTGATTTACTTCTAAAACTGCGTTGTTCTGTTCCCAGAGACACTGAACGCTTTCACGCGTCCGATGTTCATTGCCTCCAAGTGCCGTCTTTTTCCCAACGCGTCTGATTTTTGCGTTTTGTTTCAGGACCGGGACCCTCACTGCAGTCACGCTGGAACGAACCCCACAAACTTCCCCGCTGCTCCTAGCAGAGCCGAGTTCGTTTGAACGTGAATAAGCTGATTTACGGCCGAGTCGCATCCGAACGAACGCGGCAACGCTCGAAGGAGCGCAACATTTGGTGGCGTTTGCTTGAACGCGTCGTCACGCTCCTGCGATGGAGTGTGGCAAGGGAAAGGGCGCCGACTTCCTGCCACTTCAAATTTGCCACGTGCCTCTTTCAAGCGTGCGCTTGCAGTACTAGCTTCAAGCGGTTTGCATTGCGTTCCAGTTAACTGTCTATCTCATGTTTTTAAGTTAAACGGACCTCTTAAAATTTGTTGTGCTTTTCATGATGACCTTAGGTGCAGTAATTGTTTAAGTCTGCTTCTCGGGTGGTTTTATTAGTCAGGTGTTTGGCATGGCTTGTTGCAGGCTTTGGTTGTTGGTTGGTCCTGCAGGTCGCAGGCTGAGTCTCTTGTCCACGGTTCCTGCGGGCCAGCCCACCATGAGGACTGGGAGACTGGCCCGGCGTCCGTCGCACTTTTTCGCTGTCTTGTTTCTGAAGTCCGCCTTGCTTGCAGGCTCCGTGAAGGCGGAGGACCCAGAGAGCCCAGAGACTGGCGGCCGAGACCGCGGAGTGGACGAGGACGGCCATCCCGGAGGAGAGGGTGAGTGGGCAGCCTCCCGAGCGGCACTGCACTGCCATCGTCGGGGTCATTTGGTTGTATCTTTAGGTCTCCACTCTTTTTCGACGCCTGTTTCATTATCGTGGACAATTTTAGTGCCGTTTACGGAGTTTAAATGCTTTTAGTTTTATTCCCCTCGAGTTATTACGGACATTTCACTATGAAACTAGCATACACTTTCAACAATGTTATCCGATTCTCATTGATTCGCTCACATATTTGGTTTAGGTTATTTTCTCCTAACTAACTTTAATCGTCATTGAAAGTGCCTTTGGCTTGTGCTGGCGTTGCAGGCCCCGTCCCGGCGGAGACCCCGCAGCTGGTCATCAGCGGCACCTTCTCGCTGGCTGGCCCGGCCGGCGGTGCGGGGCAGGTGGAGCAGGCCTCGCGGCGGCAGCGAGGCGGGAAGGCGCGGCTCGCGTACAAGTGCGGGGAGTGCGGCAAGAGTTTCCGGGCCGAGGCGGACCTGCGGAAGCACCTGGCGGGGCACTCCAAGGCGGGGCGGCACGCGTGCGGAGTGTGCGGCAAGCAGTGGACTTGGGCTGCGAATCTGGAGAGACACGCAAGGGTCCACACCGGGGAGAGGCCGTACCAGTGTGTCGAGTGTGGGAGGAAGTTTAACCGAGAAGGCAATCTGACTGCGCACAAGAGGATTCATACTGGGGAAAAGCCGTACCAGTGTGGCGAGTGCGGGAAGAAGTTCTCCGTTAAGCATGTACTAATCGCACACAAGCGCACCCACACTGGGGAGAAGCCGTACCGGTGTGACGTGTGTGGCAAGAAGTTCAATCACGATGGCAACCTCACAGTGCACAAGAGGATCCACACTGGAGAGAAGCCTTACCTGTGCAAGGTGTGCGGGAAGAAGTTCCGACATCAGTCAACTTTACGCACTCATGAGGTCATTCATTAAGGACAGTAGATAAGTGTGAAGTCGTGCAAGTGCGGCGTTTGTAAAAAGCTGTGCGGTGAAGGTTACTTTCGCTTTGACGCGGCGGAGAGGACTTTGGAATGCGACGTGGCCAGGAAGTACTCACATCCTCACACTCACAAGCGCACGGTTTTACAAATGTAGTTCCAAAAATTCTGTTTTTGATTATTTTCTGAAAGCGGTTTAATTATGGTTGTCTTTTGAACTGTTGAGCCACACATCCACTGAACTCATTAGACACAGAATTCTTGCGTCGCACAGTAGTATTTTGTTGTCAATAAATCTGGTTGATTCTGAATTTTTTTATGGAATATACTTTTAAATCTGCGCTGTTCTGTTCCCAGAGACGCTGAACGCTTTCACTCGTCCGATGTTCATTGCCTCCAACTGCCGTCTTTTTCCGAACGCGTTTGATTTTTGCGTTTTGTTTCAGGACCAGGACTTTCACTGCAGTCACGCTGAAACGAACCCCACAAACTTCCCCGCTGCTCCTAGCAGAGTCGAGTTCGTTTGAACGTGAAGAAGCTGATTTACGGCCGAGTCGCATCCGAACGAACGCGGCAACGCTCGAAGGAGCGCAACATTTGGTGGCGCTTGCTCGAACGATGGAGTGTGGCAAGGGAAAGGGCGCCGACTTCCTGCCACTTCAAATTTGCGATGCGCCTCTTGCAAGCGTGCGCTTGCGTTACAATTAACTGTGTATCTCATGATTGGAAAAAAACGGACCTCATAAAAATTTTTGTGCTTTTAATGATGACCTTAGGTGCAGTAATTGTTTAGATCTGCTTCTCAGGTGGTTTATTTAGTCAGGTGTTTTGCATGGCTTGTTGCATGCTTTGGTTGTTGGTTGGTCCTGCAGTTCGCAGGCTGAGTCTCTTGTCCACGGTTCCTGCGGGCCAGCCCACCATGAGGACTGGGAGACTGGCCCGGCGTCCGTCGCACTTTTTCGCTGTCTGATTCTGAAGTCCGCCTTGCTTGCAGGCTCCGTGAAGGCGGAGGACCCAGAGAGCCCAGAGACTGGCGGCCGAGACCGCGGAGTGGACGAGGACGGCCATCCCGGAGGAGAGGGTGAGTGGGCGGCCTCCCGAGCGGCACTGCACTGCCGCCGTCGCGTGTTCTTTGGGTTGTACACTGAGATTCCAAACGCTATGAGTGTAGCACGTATGGTGCAATGCACATGAGATATCGCACCATACGTGCAATGCCTCAGCCCTATTGCACCTTACGTGCAATGCATCCCGAAAAGGCCCTATGCTAATGCATGAGAATGGGAAGGCATTGCACTTCATGTGCAATGCTTTTGTACCGATTGACGCTATATTCATAGCGTTTGGATTCTCAGTGTGGAGTCAGGGCGGGGAAGAACTGGACAGGGGAAGAACTGGACACTCCATATTTAACTTCAAAAACCGTAGGCACAGGAATAATAACTATCAAAAGTTGTTCCGTGGCATCAGCGGTTCATTACACGACAGTTGTCAGGCCAGCACATACGGCATTTGAAGTAACATGTGGGGTGTCCAGATCTTCCCCTGTCCAGTTTTTCCCCGCCCTGAACCTATCTTTCGGTCTCCGCTCACTTTCGAGGCCCGTTTATCGTGACAGTGCACTCCTAATTTCTTACTGAGCTTTTTCTTCGTAATACGAACGAAAATCTTAGTATTACACTGCGAGAAAAGATCACGGTAAATCCTGTACTGATTACTCCAGACTTCAGCGTACTTTTTTTAACAGGCAATACCGTCGTTGTTTTACAGGCAATACCGTCCTCTTTTTACAGGCAACACCGTACTCTTTTTACAGGGAATCCCGTACTTTTTTACCCGGCGATCCCGTACTTTTAATACCTATCGAAAACTGCTATAAGTTTGTTTAGTCGGTTGACCATCTTTTTCCAAGTTCCTGATGTACGCAACTGCTGAAGTCGGACTCCTGGACCCCCCTTCCGACCACTCGTTGGAAAGGTCTTGGCGAGACCTATCGAAAGGTGCAATAAAATTTTTCAGTCGGTCGACCCCCTTTTTTCAAGATCCTGATGTGGACAATTCTTGGAAGCGGCCTTTTGGGACCAGATCTGGTCCTTCCTACGGCATGGACTGTATGGAAGAACGGTAACTACTGTTAAAAGACTACGGAATATTTTGTAAAACAAGTACGGTAAATACTGTTGACAGTACGGTGGATACTGGTTTTTGAAGTACGGTAAAGTTTGGCAAAAAAACTATCCAGGATTTTCCGTCATTTTTTCTCAGAGTGTATGACTGCACCGGTACACCGTCAGAAAGAGTGTGAACGGTACAATAAATTTACAACAAAAACTGTACTGTGAAAGTGCCTGGGGATTGTCTGAAGTACAACGAGAATTGTACTAACAACGAGGCGTGGACTGCACAGCACTCGCCATGCTGGTTCAATTGTACGTTGTACAACAATTGTTGTACTTTGAAAATACAATGAATTCTTGATAAAAATTGCCCGAAATTTAGTGTACTTTTGTTCTGGTTTTTTCTTGCAATGTAGTAATTAATGGTGCAGAGTTCTCTGTAATGACCACTTGCGTCATATTACAAACAAATTTCTCTGTATTATGACAGATTCGTAATGTATTGAGAAGGATCCCAGCCGAAAATCTCGGTTACGATTACGGCCGGTTTCGACTCCGATTCCGACCCCGACCGGGAGAGTTCCGGTTACCTTCGTAATTTCGGACAGGGTCCGGCTACGGGTACGATCGGACCCGGACGAAGTTGCGATTACGATCGTAGCCTGATGGGACCGTTGTGAAATGGAGGTGCGCAGAGTCTCCAAGTCCGTTGCCTGTGACCTCTCTGTACCCTCTGATTTCAATGCACGATACATGTACCCAGAGTGAACTTTGCGCGCTACGCCCAATTTTGACGTCAAAAATTTGTTGCCAGGTACCCTTTACAAGTTATTGAGTGTTTCTGAAAGTTTACTGGAGACCTCAACGCATGGGCAACGCATCTTGGAGTCCGAATCCGTAACCGGAACGGGTCCGATCGCAACCGGGAAGAGTCCGATCGTAACCGAGACGAGTCCGATCACAACCGGGAAAAGTCCGATCGTAATCAGGACAAGTCCGATCACAACCGGAGTTTCTTGTCGTAGTCGGGAATTAGGTCCGGTTTCCGACCGTAATCGGGAAATTTGGGCGATTTTCCGATCGGAACTCGTAATTTTCTACGGGATCGTAACCGAGATTTTCGGCTGGGATTTTGTTCATGAAACGAAGAATTTGTACTTAGATTTTACAATGCCTTCATTTTTTTTTGTGTTACGAAGCGATTGGCCGGACGGTTTTTGCATCCCCAATTTCCTACTAAGGAATGCCGTGCTGTCACTATACTGAGCTAATTATGATTACACGGCATTTCTTAGTAGGAAATTGGGAATGCAAAAACCCTTTGAGGAATCGCTTCTTAATACAAAGAAAATAAAGGCATTGTAAAATCTAAGAACGAATGCTTCGTATCATGAAGCAAAATCCTTCGTAAGACGAAGCATTTCTTCGTTGGACGAAGCATTTTTTCGTAATACGAAGCAATTCTACAATGTCTTCGTTTTCTTTGTAGTTATGAAGCAAATGCTTCGTGGGCTTATAGGAGTGCTTGGGTGGCGTTGCAGGCCCCGTCCCGGCGGAGACCCCGCAGCTGGTCATCAGCGGCACCTTCTCGCTGGCCGGCCCGGCCGCACCTTTTGGTTTGCGTGTCGAGAACAGGGCAGGCGCTAGCTTCTCGCTCCCTCCCGCGCGGGATCCTCGCTCGGTCTTCGTCCGACGCGCTGCCCCCTCCACCACGTCCACGCGCCCTCTCCGCCTCCTCCGCAGGCCCCGCGCTCCACCCTGCACTGCAAGTTCGGCTCCATCCCATAACTAATTGGTTCCAACCCATCCTAACCTAACCTAACGGGCTCGCGACAGATCTTACGCTACTCGCGGCAGATCTTACGCTACTCGCGACAGATCTTTCTCTACTCGCGACAGATCTTTCTCTACTCGCGGCAGATCGTAGGGCGGTTGACAGACCCATCGGCACGTGACAGCTACGGCCTAACGTGACCAATAAAATTTCGGAGGGGGTGTTTCGAACCCGCACCAGCAGCGTGAGGACCCGTTGCGCTACCCCTACACCATCGGGTTGCGTGGAGACCAATGGGTCCAGCTGCATGCACTATCCGCCGCACCGCTCGGCGGCCGACTCCAGCATCTGCAGCCCACCCCCCGCCCCCCTCGCGCACGGACGTGGTGGAGGGGGCAGCGCGTCGGACAAAGACCGAGCGAGGATCCCGCGCGGGAGGGAGCGAGAAGCTAGCGCCTGCCCTGTTCTCGACACGCAAACCAAATGTTGCGGCCCGGCCGGCGGTGCGGGGCAGGTGGAGCAGGCCTCGCGGCGGCAGCGAGGCGGGAAGGCGCGGCTCGCGTACAAGTGCGGGGAGTGCGGCAAGAGTTTCCGGGCCGAGGCGGACCTGCGGAAGCACCTGGCGGGGCACTCCAAGGCGGGGCGGCACGCGTGCGGAGTGTGCGGCAAGCTGTGGACTAAAGCTTCTGATCTGGAGAGGCACGCAAGGACCCACACCGGGGAGAGGCCGTACCAGTGTGACGAGTGTGGGAAGAAGTTTAGCTTGGAAGGCAATCTCAGTGTGCACAAGAGGATGCATTCTAGAGAGAAGCCTTTCGAGTGTGACGTGTGCGAGAAGAAGTTCGCCCAGAAAATTAATCTAATCGCACACAGGCGCACTCACACTGGAGAGAGGCCGTACGAGTGTGACGTGTGTGGCAAGAAGTTTAACCGAGTAGACTTTCTCACTGTGCACAAGCGCACTCACACTGGAGAGAAGCCGTACGAGTGTGACGTGTGTGCGATGAAGTTCTGCACACTAAACTTCTTACGGATACATCCTATCTGTATTACGGACGTTTTTGTGCAATTGCAATTACGGATAGATTTTGCTTGTAATACGGATGAAATCATCCGTATTACAAAGAGTTTTACGTCCGTAACATACAGACGAAAATATCCGTATGGTACGGACGTAAAACTCTTTGTAATACGGATGATTTCATCCGTATTACAAGCAAAATCTATCCGTAATTGCAATTGCACAAAAATGTCCGTAATACAGATAGGATGTATCCGTAAGAAGTTTAGTGTGTGTCAGGGAGCTTCCCTCGCTAAGCACAAACGGATCCACACTGGAGAGAAGCCTTACGTGTGCAAGGTGTGCGGGAAGAAGCTCGGACATCAGTCAGCACTACGCAAGCACGAGTCTACTCATTAAGAACAGTAGTTCAGTGTGAAGTTGTGCAAGTGCGGCGTTTGTGAAAAGCTGTGAGGCGAAGGTCACTTTCGCTTTGACGCGGCGGCGAGGACTTTTGAATGCGACGTGGCGAGGAAGTAGTCACATCGCCCCGCTCGCAAGCGCACTCCTTCGCAAATACTGTTCAAATATTGTTTTTAATGATTATTTTCTGGAAGCGATCACATGGTTTTCTTTGACGTGTTGTGCCACAATTATCGGCTTTACTCATTAAATGTCACTTAACTTTCGCAACGCACAGCAATAGTTTGTTATTAATAAATATGGTTGCTATTCTGAATTTGTTTAAGTGATTTACTTTTAAAACTCCGTTTTTCTGTTCCCAGAGACACTGAATGCTTTCACTCGTACGATGTTCATTGCCTCCAACTGCTGTCTTTTTACCAACGCGTCTGATTTTTGCATTTTGTTTCAGGACCGGGACTCTCACTGCAGTCACGCTGAAACGAACCTCGCAAACTGCCACGCTGCTTCTAGCAGAGTCGAGTTCGTTTGAACGTGAAGAAACATTTACGGCCGATTTGCATCCGAACGACCGCGGCAACGCTCGAAGGAGCGCAACATTTGGTGGCGCTTGCTTGAACGCGTCGTCACGCTCCTGCGACGAGGAGTGTGGCAAGGGAAAGGGCGCCGACTTCACTCTACAAAAAATGTCCTGTCAACGCCGTTAATTTATTACCAATGTTTGCTGTTATGAAATTCACGGCGTTTGCTGTGAACTAGTTCACGGCGTTTACTGTGATCTCGGTTACAGTGTTCACTGTGATCTGGCCACAGTAAACGCCGTGAATTGGAGCCTGATTTGTCGTACTTCGGTGCTCAGCGGCGTCAAACTCACAGTGTTTACTGTGAACCTGATCACAGTGAACACCGTGAACAAGATCACAGTGAATCGCGTGAGCAAATCACAGTAAACGCTGTGAATTGACCTACAGTGAAAACTGGTAATAAATTAACGGCATTGACAGGACATTTTTGGTAGAGTGTTCCTTGCACTTCAAATTTGCGATGCGCCTCTTTCAAGCGTGCGCTTGCGTTACCAGCTTCGAGTTGTTAACGTTGCGTTGCAGCTAACTGAGATCTTATGATTTTAAAATAAACGGACACCTTAAATTTTTTTTTTGTGCTTTTCATGATGACCTCGGGTGCAATAATTGTTTAAATAAGCTTCTGGGGTGATTTTATTAGTTAGGTGTTTTGCATGGCTAGTTGCATGCTTTGGTTGTTGGTTGGTCCTGCAGTTCGCAGGCTGAGTCTCTTGTCCACGGTTCCAGCGGGCCAGCCCACCATGAGGACTGGGAGACTGGCCCGGCGTCCGTCGCACTTTTTCGCTATCTGATTCTGAAGTCCGCCTTGCTTGCAGGCTCCGTGAAGGCGGAGGACCCAGAGAGCCCAGAGACTGGCGGCCGAGACCGCGGAGTGGACGAGGACGGCCATCCCGGAGGAGAGGGTGGGTGGGCAGCCTCCCGAGCGGCACTGCACTGCCATCGTCGGGTTCATTTTCAGTTCTCTAATCTTGCTCGGGGCCTATCATCGTGGCTTATTTGAAGGCCGTTTACGGATATAATATGCATGATGTTTATTCCACTCGACGTTTCATGGACACTATGAAAAACGAAACGTTACCCAGACGACTTTACTGGCGTGGTGAGATGGTTGCTATTTCGTCTGCATCATTGAGTTTGCTGTGGTCTTTGGTCAAAACGTTTGCTGTGGTCTTTCCATGCAATGACAACACCAAACGTGGTCGGGAAATGGCACCCATTTGATTGCATCAGTTGGTTTTTCAGTGCACTTTTCAATGAATGGAGCATACACTCTTGGTTTTAAATTATTGCTATCAACTTAATATAATCGTCATTCAATGTGCCATCGGCTTGTGCTGGCGTTGCAGGCCCCGTTCCGGCGGAGACCCCGCAGCTGGTCATCAGCGGCTCCTTCTCGCTGGCTGGCCCGGCCGGCGGTGCGGGGCACCAGCGGAAGCACCTGGCGGGGCAGTCCAAGGCGGGGCGGCTCGCGTGCGGAGTGTGCGGCAAGCAGTGGACTAATGCTTCGGATTTGAAGAGGCACGCGAAGATTCACACCGGAGAGAAGCCGTATCAGTGTGACGAGTGTGGGAAGAAGTTCAATTACAATGGCAACCTCACTAAGCACAAAAGGATCCACTCTGGAGTGAAGCCCTACGAGTGCAAGGTGTGCGAGAAGAAGTTCCGATATCTGTCTGCACTACGCAAGCACGAGTCCATTCATTAAGGACAGTAGTGAAGTGTGAAGTTGTGCAAGTGCGGCGTTTGTGAAAAGCTGTGAGCGAAGGTTACTTTCGCTTTGACGCGGCGGAGAGGACTTTTGAATGCGACGTGGCCAGGAAGTAGTCACGTCCTCACGCTCGCATGCACAATGTTTCGCGAATGCAGCCTGTACTTTTTTAATAATGATTATTCTTTAAATGCGATCAAATCGTTTTATTTTATATGTTGAGCCACACATCGGCTTTACTCATTGGACACTCAACTTTCGCGTCAGACAGTAAAATTTTGTTTTTAATAAATCTGGTTAATTCTGATTTTATTTTGGCGGGTGGCACATTGACTACTGGTACCACTGTCATTGGTAGTCACCCCTGCAGCCACCCCCTATTCCTATTACACAACTAATTTTCTTTCTCCACACTGTTACACAATAACCAAATTGACTTCGTGACGCCTAGGATTTCTTGAAATCGTATTTTTGCCTTTTGTTTCAGGACCGGGACTCCCACTGCAGTCGCTGAAACGAACCTGCACTCTTAAAAGCCTACGAAGGATATGCTTCATAACTACAAAGAAAATGAAGGCATTGTAGAATTGCTTCGTATTACGAAGAAATGCTTTGTATTACGAAGGATTTTGCTTCATAATACGAAGCATTTCTTCGTATTGCGAAGCGATTCTTCGTAGAGTTTTTACTGTGTGGGCGATTCCATGCCAAACCAACGAGCTCTTGAAAATTCATCTCTTCGATTTGGATACAACTTTTTTTAGGGGTAGGGGTCATTATAAAAAGATCCCATGTCAAAGGGTTTTGCGATATCTCCTCCCGTTTGGCCGTAATAACACAGCGAAGTTTTCACTTTGGTCAGTGCTCTTTAAATACTTATGCAAATACGAAGCAAAGAGTTACCGTGAAACTGGGTAATTTCGGACACTTTTGAGAGGTTTTTTTTGATATTTTGAAAGTTGTGGTGTTGTCATGGACTTTAGGGTTAAAATTTATCATTTACCCACCTTTAGCTTCGATTTGGCGCTAGTTTTTGGCCCGCCCTTCTATTCAAAAAATAGGGGGAGGGCCTATGCATTTGCCTTTGTGTCTGTGTGTTGTTGTTGTTGTTGTTGGCGTCTGTGTACAAGGAAGGAGTTGAGCTAGAGTAACCAGATTTGAAGGGTACTTCACGAGTACCTTCCAAACAAATAATCCGGTGGTGCAAATCCTGTCCGGGTCGCACAAGGGCTGCTGCAGGTGCATCATGGTTTACATGAGCGGGAGGGGGATTTCCGCCATTATTGGTGCTAGCAGGGCACATAGGGGTATTTTTGGAATCGGGGCGACGAGACAAGATGAATGGACCTGGTCCCGACCCCATCGGCCGCTTTTACAAGTTGGCCAGATCAGGATCTTCAAAAAAGGGGGTCGACCGACTAAAAAATTTTATTGCAGACTTCGATTGGTCTCAGCGAGACCTTTCCAACGAGGGGTCGGAAAGGGGGTCCAGGAGCCCGACTTCGTCTATTAGTCACATCAGGATCTTGAAAAAAGGGGGTCGCCCGACTGAAAATTTTTACTTAAGTTTTCGATAGGTCTTGGCAGGACCTCTTCAACGACACTACAAACCTAACTGTCTACTAAGTACACACTTACAAATGCATGCCTGCAAGTACACACTTGCAAACGCATGCTTGGCCAAGTACACACTTACAAATGCATGCTTGCAAGTACACACTTACAAACGCATGCTTGACGCATGGAGTTATACGGCGTCAAGCAAGCGTTTGTAAGTGTGTACTTGCAAGCATGCGTTTGTAAGTGTGTACTTGCCAAGCATGCGTTTGTAAGTGTGTACTTGCAAGCATGCATCTGTAAGTGTGTACTTAGTAGACAGTTAGGTTTGCAGTGGAGGGGTCGGAAGGGGGGTCCAGGAGCCCGCCTTCATGAGTTATGGGAAAAAGTGCGACGGACTCGTTTTGCGCTCCTGCTGTGCCTCTATTGCAAGGAGTTGCAGTAGCATGGCAAATATGGGTATTTTCGGAATTAGGGCGAAGAGACAAATGAAATGGGCATATTCTAAGGACAGTTGGAGGAAAAAGTGTAAGGACTATTGCATATTGTGAATAGAAGGGCGGGCCTAAGTCACGATGGTACATCGATAACTTTGCTTTACCCGCTTACGGTGTGTGTGATGCGAGCGGGCCGAAGGCCCAGCCCTTCGACTGGCCAAGTTGGGTCTGATGCGAGGGCCGAAGGCCCGAGAAAAGGCCGCCGGCAGGCCAAGCTGGGCCGGCCCCCTGTCGAACCGAGTTGCCGGCGCAGCGAAGCGGAGCTGGCAACTCGGTTCGACGGAAGGGCGGGCCCTAGCTTGTTAATATCTGCGCCTCACCGTTTTTACAGTGGAGGGTCCGAAGCAGTGTCCGAAGTTACCCCGTGTTTTGGGGTAATTTCGGACACCCCCGGAAAAACGACTTTTCGTTCTGATTTTGGTCTCAAAATCGATCTTGTCTCTTTCTATAGTGCTAATATGATTATATGAGAGATTCGTAAGGGCTTAGATGTGGAGGTATGGTAGGGGTGGTCCATTCATACATAACTTGGAGTCATGGTTTTGAACTTGAACTAATAGTTCGGTTTCAGGGAGAGTGGGTCGAACTAATGGAGCTATTTAGAAGGCTTCTTATTTTTAAAAATTTGACCGAATAGCTTTTATTTGCAACTCGGGCTATACTTCACGCGTAAATGAATCGTAAATCTTCCTCTTCAAGATTACACACGATTACATACATGCATGCATATGAAAAGCAAGTAGTCGTGTCGTATGTTCGGTTAGGAAGATCCAGGAGCTCACTGGAAAACCTTACATTTCAATTGTAGTAATCCGGCGAGCTGCAGCCATTCGCTAAGTCCAACTCTCATGCCACATGAAAAAATTAGTCACAAAACAGTCGTTGACATTGAGGTAGGATATGTACATGGAAAAAAGGTATTGAAGATGTAGCTTCGCCCCTTTTTCTATGAATGTCAAAGTTCACAAAGCAACCGTTTTGGCAATGGGGTATTATCGTTGTTATTGGATTATCTTCATCTTTTAGGAGAGCTCTTCAGCTTCCTCTACTCAAACCCTGCGCAATTGAAAGTGTTCAGAGCATACCCACTCTCCCTGGCGTGACGTTGATGTGTCCGAAATTACCCCGTAAAGTAACAATTTTTCAGTTTTGAGCCCATATAAACCAAACTATTTGACCCAGATGATTGAAAATTTGACACAGCATGCTCTTAACATGTTCAAATCGACAAACAATCCCCTCATAAACCGCTCATTAACAGTTTTGGCTTGCCAGTCAAAGTTTTTACGCTTAAAGCGAATTTAGGTAAAAAGGGTTAAATACAAAAACCACTCTATCTCTTGAAGTTTGCCACTGTTTTGACCTCCAGGTGAGTGATTAGATGGTATTAAGTGTGGCCGATTCGATGCGCGCAACGGGACAAGCCTCCAAGTTGGCCGTTAGATAGGAGCATCATCGCCATGCTTCCGGGCAGAGATGTCCGAAATTACACCGAGTGTCCGAAATTACCCCGAGTGTCCGAAATTTCCCCGAGTGTCCGAAATTACCCCGAGTGTCCGAAATTACCCCGTTTCACGGTAATTTAGATAATGTATATGCTAAGCATGTTCCTATTTCAGTTGCAATAAAATTGGGTTTTGAAATTCGTCCCATGCTTTTTTTTCTAAGCCATCAAAGTCCTTTTTTACGATTTGGATACGGTTGAGTTTGTTCCGAGCTCAGTGACATTTTGTAACGTGTAGTCAAATGTGCAGTTCTCTTGTTTCCTCCACTATCCGTCTATATATAACCAGATTTAAAAGTGTCATTTATATCTTCAAAATCGTCCTTAAATACTTAATTTCAATGATTATTAATGAATTGCAGTGAAGTTTGCATGTTTGATGACTTTCGGTGTACAAATTTGGCTGGAGTTATTTCCCCTTGAGGTTTCGAAATCATAAGTACGCTTTAATTCTGACTGGTCGACCCCTCAGCGTGATGTCACGTCCCTGGAATGAGTGTGGAGGATGGTCTTTTTCTCCTGGTTGATAGAAATGCTGTTGGGACGATGACTTCGTTCAAATTTGTCTGACTCAGATTGGTTGAAGATGCATGCATTGTAAGTTTCTCGCACTGAAATGGAGATGGTCACGGCTTCTCGCTTCACGTTTCGAGGCAGCTGTGCATGATTGGTTGGTGCTTGGCGACTGTGCATGGCTTAACATAAACTCAGATAAAAAATCATATCTGGAAACAAGCAAATTTACATGGAACAAGGCAAATTGACTGCCCCCTGAAGTCCATTATCCTTGATTCAAGTAAATCTTCTAGTTTCAAGATTAGTTTATCTGAGTGTGGTCAGTGAGAGAGTCTTCAAGTCTTGGCAATTCATAAGAGCTTTATTCTGCCAGCCTGCTTGGGACTCGAAGAGCACTTCTTCTCGTCGCTTCCATGGCCAGTTCCCTGAAGTCCGTCTTGCTTGCAGGTTCCGTGAAGGTGGAGCGTGAGGAACGCCCTTCGTTCGGGGGACGGGGTTCGCGACTGGACGAGGACGCCGGCCCTGGAGACGGAGGCGAGGGTGAGTGGAGCAGCCAGGCCTTTGAGCTCGGTTACTTATTAGTGTTAAGAAACGAGGCTTGCTTCGTCTTTCGGCAGTACCAATGCAGCTATCAATGCAGTGGCAAGTACACTCTAAAGTTGGCATGCCGTGAAACTGCGCCTTTGTCGCCTGGCGTATTTTTTAGGGCGTCAAATGTTGCTTAGCTTCCGGGTGTTCAAATCGTTAAAAAATCTCATTCAACGAACGTTAATGAAAGCAGATGATACTCGTTTGGTTTTCTTATACGGGGTAGTATGCAGGCTCATTCCAAAGGTAGTATTTAAAATTGTGTATGAAACAAAGTACACAGACCCGAGCGAGCTGGCCGGTGTAGGTACTTTGGTACTGGCCGCGCCGAGCTGTGGCTTGCACCGCCCACCGCCGAGCCCGAGCGCCCCAGGCCGGGCCGAATCGGGAGGCATTGTTGCGCGTGGCAGGCGGGGAGGGATTGTCAATGTGAGGAGGGGGTGCCATTGTTTACGCCCGGTGCCGCTGGCGCTGTACCGCGGAGGGATTGTCGAATTCCGCGCAGGCTGCGCCTCACCGCCAGCCAGCCAGCCAGACACACCAGCCCGTCCCGGCCGCCAGCCCCTATTATATTGTTAGGATACGCGCTTGGTTTCTGGACTCGAGAGTAAAAGCACGCTGACACCTTCATTTGTGTATAGTAGTTTTAAGTATGTTTCAAGTGTGAAGGTATCATCCGCTAGAAACTTGCCTTCATCCATGGCCCGGCGGCGCACGAGGCTCTAAAGGTGCCCATAGTCAAGGCAGCTTGGTCACCCAGAAACAAGGCTCGAATGCGTGCTCTTACGTGGGGTAGGTGGGGCCAGTGTCATTTGCGTAGTGGTATGTGCACCGCGAGACCGGACGACAAACTTGGCCAAAACCCGTACGACACTTGGCGCCTTAAGTGGGCAGTAGCTTTTCGTGCACGTTTTCTCAATAATTTTACAACTCTCTGCTTGGACATGAACAAAAAGGAACCATGCCAAAGTACAAACGTTTTACAACAATTTGAAAAAAAATTTTCAAGCATCAAATGAGGGAGGGGTATGAAGTACGTTAAAAAAAGCCTTCAAAATTATTCACGGTGTCACTGCGCGCATGATATTAGGCAAAGTTTTCAACGTAGAAACAAAAGTTTCAACACTCTTCGAGAGAGGCTTGGCATTTGTAAAACTTGGTATTTTCTTTTTGTTCCCCCCCCTTCCAAGCCCCAAACGAAAAGGTCCTTACTTACGGCGAGAGATTGATGTACTGTGGACCACGTCGCGTTTTACCACCTCCGGTTGCTCTACTCGGTGTCACATTCATTTGTGTCACACTGTCACACCCGAATGTGACACAACACTGAGAATCCAGACGCTATGAGTATAGCGCCAGTTGGTGCAATGCATTTGAAGACCGTTCATTGCACCAATTAGTGCACTGCTTTTGCATTGCACGTGAAGTGCAATGCCTTCCCAAGCATTAGCATAGGGCATTTTCGGGACGCGTTGCACGTAAGGTGCAATATCTCAATGCACCATACGTGCTATACTCATGGCGTTTGGAATCTCAGTGAATGCTCAGAGGAATGTGACATGCAGTCACTTCCGATTCAACGCGATGTCACGATGCTGCAATGAGAGTGTTGCTTGCAGGCTCCGTGAAGGCGGAGGACCCAGAGAGCCCAGAGACTGGCGGCCGAGACCGCGGAGTGGACGAGGATGGCCATCCCGGAGGAGAGGGTGAGTGGGCAGCCTCCCGAGCGGCACTGCACTGCCACCGTCGCGTTCTTCGGTTTGTATCTTTCGGTCTCCACTCTTCTCCGAGGCCTGTTTTATCATCGTGGATAATTTGAGTCCCCTTTTCGGATATCATGTGCTTTCAGTTTGGTTCGACTTAACTTTTTACGGACTTTTAACTTTAAAAAAGCATACACTCTCAGTTCAATAATGTTTGCTGAATCGCATGGATTTGCTTAAGTATTTGGTTTAGGTCAATCACTACAAATCCAAAGGTCAGACTTCTCGCCACTCCAGAGGCGAGACATAAAAGTATCGCCAAGTTTTGGTCGGATCTAAAAGTCTCGCCAAAATTTGGTTAGACAAAAAAGTCTCACCACAAAACGATCAGACACAAGAGTCTCACCACAAAATGGCGAGACACTGGAAACCAACAAATGTGGCGTCATATTCGTTGGAGTTCGTATTTTGTCACGTTCGGTTGAATATAATGTCACATTCGTTTGAACGTGGATCAACATTCAACCAAATGTGACATCATATTCAAACGAATATGACGTCACATTCGTTGTCTACCAATAGACTTTTGTGTCTGACCACGGCCTTAAGGGGGCACACCAGTGAAAATTGTCGAATTTTGACCTTCTTGTTTATTTTATCTTATTTTTCTGCTTTTCATCCCGAGTCGAACGCCGCAAACCCCACCCCTAAATTCTAATTACTTTGGCTTGTGCACGTTTTTAAAGTTGCTAAAAAGGTAATTTTATTTGCATATTTTACACCTATTGTTAACGTTTAGGTTTTTCACTTGAATTTCAATTACGAATCCCTTAAACCGCCCAAACGCAGTTGAAAAGAGGAACATTTTGGCGCAAACGGAACTAAAATACGTCAAAAGGCGCATTTATAATCCGAAAAGAGCAAGTCAAATCTATGTTTCTACCAAATGGGCTTTTTCTCAAAACACCTTTTTTTACCTTTGTGCCACTCTCACGGGCGCAAAAATTGAGATAATTTAATGCGGTTTGCGGCAAAATGTTCGTTTAACTTGCGTCTATGGTCTGAACCTCGGAAATGGCCGTCCCATAAATAAGATGTGAGCAGCAGCCATGAAAGCGCGAAAAAATTGGTTAAAAAATTTGTTTCTATTTTTGCCTTTTGAAACATTTTTTTGCATGCCCGTGGTTCAGACCATAGCCACATGTGTCCTGTTGAGAAATTTTAGAATCCCGTGCTCGAGGCTCAATCCAGAGTGGCGGAATCGTGGCAGGAGTGACGCAAGGTCGCAAAAAATTGTAGTGCACTGGCGCTCCGTCTTGCCATCGCCACCCCGCCCTCCCGTAAGGGAAGGTGGGGTACCATGTGACACTTTTAGGCGGATGCCCGCCAACACGAAACTAACAATTGTACGGATCCATACTGCTCGTGCCGACAAAGAGGGGTCCCTTAGCTTCAAAGTCCCGTTGAGCTTTTCATTTTACCTCGATTGGTTGCGAAGGTATCCCAGTTTGATTGGGTGCATGTAAAATGTCACATGGTGTACCACTGAGTTCACCATGTGACAGCCCCTGGGCACCATGTGACACCTCAGACTAATGTGTAAAAATTGCTGTTTTTCAATGGAAATATTCGTAGATGTATTTCAAAAATGGTTAGGAAAGCAAGGAAACACATCTATGTTAATCAAAATACAGTTTATTTTAAAAAGTCAACTTATTTTTGTCGCACGCATCGTCGCCCAAATTTGGGTGACGAGCCAGCGGTGACCAAATTTTGGGCAGTCATAAAATCGTCACCCCAATTTGGGTAACGCCGTCGACGACGCCGTGACGTCCCCGATGACGTTCTTCCGAGGCCACCACGATGATCCAATGTGGCGTTGAGGCCTCCGGTCATCGTGCTGGCCCCGGAAGGACGTCATCGGGGACCTCACGGCGTCGTCGACGGCGCTACCCAAATTTGGGCGACCGAACGCCTGTTACCAAATTTTGGGTGATGATTTTTTCGTCACCTAAAATTGGGCAACGAAGTTGCATCACCCATTTAATGGGTGATGGTGGTGACCCATTCATTCTCAGTGTACCGTCTGCAGGTCGGCCCGGCCCGCGCCCGGCCATGGGTGTCGTCTGCAGAGGCCAACTCCTTTGTAGTTCCAAACCTGGCCACCAGGCGGCGCTAGGCTTTGCCTTCGAGCCCCCAGAGACGCCCAGCCACCCCTAACCTCTCTCAAACACATTCACACAAGGGTTAGTGTAATATCCCACGCCTACAACACACAAAAGCAGGACTTATTGGGGAAAACAGGAAAATCGCGGATTAGAGGAGTTGTCACATCGTGCCCCACATCGAGTGTCACATCGTGACCGAAGGGGTGGCTTTCGAGGAATTGCCAACTGCGCCCTTATCCCTTGCGATAGAGAAGCGAGCCCAAGCTTATTTTACGCTTAAAACATCAAAGGAGAACATCCTGCAAGCCATAGGCCGTTTATGTGTGTTTGAAAGGTGAAAAGCGGACGCGGCGTGAAATAGAAAAAAATTCCAATTACCTGTTTTGGGGGGGTAAAAATTTCTCGTGTCTCTACTTTCCGCCCTGTTCGACGCACAATCACGGCCTGTTCGACGTCGATGCCCCTTCTTGATACCTTCCTTTGAGTCTTCTTACCGCTGTTGGATAGCGAGCCGTTTGGGAGAAAAAGCCAATGTCACATGGTGGCCGTGTCACATGGTACCCCACCTTCCCTTACTGATTTTTATTTTCTTTGATATAATTTTAAGCCAAGAATAAAATATCAATCGAATACATATGTTAATTTCCTCAGAATGATCGTTTTTCGAAACCTTTGCATTTTCACTGGTGTGCCCCCTTAAAGTCGTAACCGTCCGGCGCATTACGGTCTTCAGGTGGCGGTAAGACATAAGAGTCTCAAATTTTGGCGAGACTTTCAGGTTTGGCCAAAACTTGGCGTGGCGAGACTTAAATGTCTCGCCGCGAAGTCTTTCCATCCAATTTGCAGTAAATTTTCCCTAACTAACCGTCCATCAAAGTTCCTTTGGCTTGTGCTGGCGTTGCAGGCCCCGTCCCGGCGGAGACCCCGCAGCTGGTCATCAGCGGCACCTTCTCGCTGGCTGGCCCGGCCGGCGGTGCGGGGCAGGTGGAGCAGGCCTCGCGGCGGCAGCGAGGCGGGAAGGCGCGGCTCACGTACAAGTGCGGGGAGTGCGGCAAGAGTTTCCGGGCCGAGGCGGACCTGCGGAAGCACCTGGCGGGGCACTCCAAGGCGGGGCGGCACGCGTGCGGAGTGTGCGGCAAGCTGTGGACTAAAGCTTCTGATCTGCCCGAGTAAAAATAGAAGGCTGCAGAAAGGCTGACGCACGGCTGACGCATGGCTGTATGGGCCGTTTTTTGGCTGTATGCATGGCTGCCGTGGCTGCGTTGCAGCCATGTCGCAGCCATAGCGACGTCCTGGACTTGCAGCCATCCACGCTGCAGTGGCTGCTCTGGCTGTTTCACGGAGCGCTTTGGCTGTGAAACGCTTCAGAAGCTGCGCACAGAAGCCTTTTGGCTGCCCTAAGCAGCCTATTAACGCTGCCACGCACAGCCAACTTAGCTGCAATGGCTGTAGGCTGCGCGTCGCAGCGTGTTGGCTGCTGGCGCCAGCCGGGCCGCGGCTGGATTTTACAGCCACGCGGGCTGCAATGGCTGTAGGCTGCGCGTCGCAGCGTGTTGGCTGCCGGATGCAGCCGGGCTTCGGCAGGACTAAACAGCCATGTAGGCTGCAATGGCTGTAGGCTACGGATTGCAGCATGGTGGATGCTGGCGGTATTCAGGCAACGGTCGTATTCCTTGATTAAAGGGCCATAAAAATAGAAAAAAATAGACTGGGTGCGTGGTATGCTGATATTTGAGTTGAATACGTTAACATACATAAGCCATGCAAGTTTCGTAAAAATCGGGAAACTTTTTGGTTATCTTTGATATCTCGGGAACGGTAAGTCCTACATGAAATTACTTGGCAGATTTGGATCCGGAACGGTGTTCGGACCCTAGAAAATCTACAAAGGGCTCCATAGAACTTCAAAGGGCGTAACAGGGACCCTCAAAGGTCCTCATGGGGACCTTCATGAACTAAGGAGTGAAGCCTAGTAGCGATATGGATGCTGCCGATGGCATCCACGAGGCCGCAGGATGCGGCCGAGATGTGGCTCTGACCCGCAGCTTCATAGCTGCCGGCCGGGGGCAGCGTGGGCCGGGCGAAAGAAGGCTGCCTGGAGCATCCTGAAGGCTGCGGGGTGCAGCCTACAGCAGCGCCTCACAGCCTCCTGGCTTCCGGGGACAGCGTGGCCCGGGCGAAGGAAGGCTGCCTGGGGCATCCTGAAGGCTGCGGGGTGCAGCCTAGAGCAGTGCCTCGCAGCCTCGTGGCTGCTGGGGGCAGCGTGGCTCGCGAAGGAAGGCTGTCTGGCGCATCCTGAAGGCTACGGGGTGCAGCCTAGAGCAGCGGGGGCAGCGCTGACTGGGCTCCAAAGGGACACTTCAGTGGCTGGCAGGTGCAGCCAGAGACGCTGCACCGGCTGCGGATGGCTGTATTTTGGCTGACGTATGTCCGAATACAGCCAATGTCTGCAGCCATCCGAGTTCCATCCGCGCGTTGTAAGCAACCTGGAGGGAGCCAGCCTGCAGCCAATCTGCAGCCTATAATTTTCTCTCGGGTGGAGAGGCACGCAAGGATCCACACCGGGGACAGGCCGTACCAGTGTGACGAGTGTGGGAGGAAGTTTAACCGAGAAGGCAATCTCACTGTGCACAAGAGGATTCATTCTGGAGAAAAGCCGTACCAGTGTGAAGAGTGTGGGAAGAAATTTAGTATTGTGGGGAATCTTTCTGTGCACAAGAGGATTCATACTGGGGAGAAGCCTTTTGAGTGTGACGTGTGTGGGAAGCAGTTTAACCGGGAAAGCAATCTAACTGTGCACAAGAGGATGCATTCTGGGGAGAAGCCTTTCGAGTGTGACGAGTGCGAGAAGAAGTTCTCCCTTAAGCAGGTTCTAATCGCACACAAGCGCACTCACACTGGAGAGAGGCCGTACGAGTGTGACGTGTGTGCGATGAAGTTCAGTCAAGGAGCTCACCTCGCTGAACACAAGCGGAGGATCCACACTGGAGAGAAGCCTTACGTGTGCAAGGTGTGCGGGAAGAAGTTCCGACAGCAGTCAGCTCTTCGCAAGCACGAGTCCATTCATAAAGGACAGTAGTCCAGTGTGAAGTAGTGCAAGTGCGGCGTTTGTGAAAAGCTGCAAGGCGAAAATCACTTTCACTTTGAGGCGGCGAAGAATGCGACGTGGCCAGGAAGTAGTCACATACTTACGCGCGCAAATACAGTTCAAACTTTTTTTTGATGATTTTTGCTGTTAAAATGGTTGTTTTCGACATGTTAAGCCAAATATCGGCTTAACTCATCTGGCACTTTGTCGGACAGTCATATTTTGTTCTAAATAAATATGGTTGACTGTGAATTGTTTAAGTGACTTACTTTTTAAACTGCGCATGCAGTTCAAACTGGTTTTAATGATTATTTTCGTAATGCGATCAAATGGTTGTCTTTTACATGTTGAGCCACACATCGGCTTTACTCATTGGACGTTTAACTTTCGCGTCAGACGGTAGAATTTTGTTTTCATAAAATCTGAGTTGTTTTTTTTTTTAAGTGATTCCCGCGTGGAAAGATCTGTAGTGGAACTGTATGGAAAGATCTGTAGTGGAACTGTAGATGAAACTGCAGTTGTTCATCTGCAGTCCGTTTCTGTAGTTCTTTTCTTCCCTTTATTTGTATTTAAAGTGTAATCAGTTTTGTATCGTCCGCTGCAGTCAGTTGTATGATTTAAAGTGGACAAAAACTGTCCTTCAACTGCACTCCGTTGTAAGATCCAACTGCAGTCCACTCTGTCATTCCAAAATGCAGTTGAAACCGCAGTTCAAGTTAGCTTCATTTACAAGTGCAAAGTGTTGATATCAAATGCAGTTCTCAACTGCTCTTTACTTACACTTGGAAAGTAAAGACTAGTGTATGGCATATACAGTCCCGGGCTCAATTCACGATCCAGTCAGAATCTACACTTACAGTTTGTCCCACTAGTAGTCCAAGTGTACTACCATCTTCACTCTGAATGTCCTTCAGCGCTGACACTTAAAAGTGATTTAATCCCTTTGAATTTCGCAAAGTGAAGCTCCGCACTGCTTTCAAACCGGCATGTCCGGACAAATGACGTGAAAATTTCCCGTGGAGTGGCCCGCGCCGGGAGGGAGTTGCGGTAAATCCCTCGTCTACCTGAGCGCGCGGGCACGGCCAGTGGCATCGCCCGCGCTGGACCCCGTCCCTCAGATGTCTCCGTGGCGCAGATGGCAGCGCTGCGGACCGACAAGCGCGGCCGCCCGGGTTCGGCTACTCATCAGACTGACAAACTTACACGACAAAACAAGGAAAGGAGGGAAGAGGAAGGGCGTGACTGGGGCAGGTGGAGCAGGCCTCGCGGCGGCAGCGAGGCGGGAAGGCGCGGCTCGCGTCCAAGTGCGGGGAGTGCGGCAAGAGTTTCCGGGCCGAGGCGGACCTGCGGAAGCACCTGGCGGGGCACTCCAAGGCGGGGCGGCACGCGTGCGGAGTGTGCGGCAAGCAGTGGACTTGTGCTGCGGATCTGGAGAGGCACGCAAGGATCCACACCGGGGAGAGGCCGTACCAGTGTGACGAGTGTGGGAGGAAGTTTAACCGAGAAGGCAATCTGACTGTGCACAAGAGGATTCATACCGGGGAGAAGCCATACGAGTGTGACGTGTGTGCGATGAAGTTCGGTCAAGGAGCTCACCTCGCTGAACACAAGCGGATCCACACTGGAGAGAAGCCTCACGTGTGCGTGCAAGGTGTGCGGGAAGAAGTTCCGACAGCAGTCCACACTACGCACGCACAAGTCCATTCATTAAGGACAGTAGTTCAGCGTAAAGCTGTGCAAGTGCGGCATATGTGAATGGCTGTTAAGCGTAGGTCACAGTGGCCCGGAGACTTTAAATTTGATGTGCGCAGGAAGTAGCCATATCCTCATGCTCTCAAGGGCAGAGTTTCGCGAATGCATTGCAAACATTGTTCATGAAAATTTTTTTTTAGCGATTTCATGATCGTCTTTGACCTGCGGAGTCAAACGTACCGGGTTTACTTATCGGGCACAAAATTTTCGTGTCGGACAGTAACATTTTGTTTTTGATAATTCTTGTTCATTGTGAATTATATAAAGTGAATAATTCCTCCATGTGTGTTGCTGTCTTCCCAGAGACCCTGAATGTGCTTCAGCTCCGAAGAAGTTCATTGTCCGATTCTGAACTGCCGTCTTTCTGCTGCTGCGTCTCATCTTTGAGTTTTGTTGCAGGACCGGCACTCCCAGTGCAGGAGCGTGACGGCACGTTGGTACGAACCTCTGTCTCGCACCTGCAGGCAGCGTGGCATTCATTGGAACGTGAATGCAGCTCTTGGTTGGTCCTGTTGTTCACTGGCTGACAAGAGAACATATTGAGGGGGTCCACTCAGATTTCGGCCAAACTTCTTTTTTTATCGGAAGAATAAGGCATTGGGTTAAGTATGCACCCCGAAGTTGGTGCCAAGATATAAATCCACACCCTTGCCGATTTTTTTAAACCTATAAACGGGGTAAAATAGGCCTTTTTGCTGTGTATAGGCTAGGTCATTTTCGAGAAAATGCGAAGTCGAGTTTTTCATCATTGCCTACTATGTTTGGTCCCCTAATTACGAAAATGAGAGTTACTTTTGGTTTCCAATCGTTTTTTGTGCACATTTGGTTCGACTGCCCAATTAAAACCGGAAATCTGCTGTTTGCATGTAATGACATAGGCCATTTTACCCCGTTTCTTAGTGTCACGGAGCTGTCGGTTTTGAAACAACATTTGAAGTTCCCGCGCGCCGCAGCGCGCCAGCCAGCTACGCCACTCCACTGCATCCCGGCGGCTCCGCTTCGTTCCGTCGCCCGCCGAGCCGAGCCGAGCCGGGGCGAGCGGACGGAACAGCGACGAGGGACAGGCAGACAGACCGAAGCGCAGTCAGTCAAGTCGAGACAGCTGATCGGAGCGGACGTCGGCAGCCGGAGCTCACGCCACCGAGAGCGACCGCGTGTTGTGCAGCACACCGTCAAACGTGCCCGTGTCCAAGTCTCGTCCGCGATGTCCGAGACCCTCGTCGACACCAAGCTCGTCGTGACCATGGACTGTCCCAGCAACCATCTGCCCGCAAGGTGTGGACCATCGCCATCCGGCCAGCGCGACACGGTACTGTGGAGACCAAGCTGTTTGTTTACCCAGCATTTTTGTACTCCAGGGCTTTGAGTGCCGGGGGAACACGTGCCATGCTCGGCTAGTCGTTCCGCCTGATGCCCCTGTCACCATGCTGCTGCTCTCCACCTCCACCATGATCGGGTCCGTGATGCGCTGCGCCCGTTCACCAAGGCCTCCACGGCGGCGCCCTGGCCGGCCCCGTGCCCGTCGTCTCGCCGTCGGCCGCCGTGCGTCGCACCGCCTCGGCGCGCCGAAGCACCGCGTCACCGCCATGCCTGGGCGGCGACCGCTCGCTGCCTCTCGGCCGCCTCCGTCAACGAGTGCCCTCTTCTCTTCTTCTGAGTGTGAAAAGTGCTAGTGCTCAGTGTTTCGCATTTAGTGAAGTGGTGCCATTTACGCCATGTGACGCAATTTTGAGTCAGGTTTGAACGCTTTGGCGCTGCCTTTGGTTCATTTTCTTTTGTGTTTGTTTTGATTTCTCACACTGTGAAATGTGAAGTGTGTGAGTGTGTGTGCGACCTGGGGACGCCCGGGATCGCCTTTATTTTGGATTACTTCTTCAATCAGCAATTGGTGAGTGCACTCTGATTATTTCTTTCCCTTTGGCCAAAGGTATATTGTGTTTTTGTTTACTGTTGTTGTCGTTGTTTGTGCTAGTTGGGTTATTATTTGCGCTGTGTATAGTGCGTTTTTGCTCGGTAAACGTTTAGTAAATTACGGTGTTGTGATTCTTTAATTACCCGAGAGAAAATTATAGGCTGCAGATTGGCTGCAGGCTGGCTCCCTCCAGGTTGCTTACAACGCGCGGATGGAACTCGGATGGCTGCAGACATTGGCTGTATTCGGACATACGTCAGCCAAAATACAGCCATCCGCAGCCGGTGCAGCGTCTCTGGCTGCACCTGCCAGCCACTGAAGTGTCCCTTTAGAGCCCAGTCAGCGCTGCCCCCGCTGCTCTAGGCTGCACCCCGTAGCCTTCAGGATGCGCCAGACAGCCTTCCTTCGCGAGCCACGCTGCCCCCAGCAGCCACGAGGCTGCGAGGCACTGCTCTAGACTGCACCCCGCAGCCTTCAGGATGCCCCAGGCAGCCTTCCTTCGCCCGGGCCACGCTGTCCCCGGAAGCCTGGAGGCTGTGAGGCGCTGCTGTAGGCTGCACCCCGCAGCCTTCAGGATGCTCCAGGAAGCCTTCTTTCGCCCGGCCCACGCTGCCCCCGGCAGCTATGAAGCTGCGGGTCAGAGCCACATCTCGGCCGCATCCTGCAGCCTCGTGGATGCCATCGGCAGCATCCATATCGCTACTAGGCTTCACTCCTTAGTTCATGAAGGTCCCCATGAGGACCTTTGAGGGTCCCTGTTACGCCCTTTGAAGTTCTATGGAGCCCTTTGTAGATTTTCTAGGGTCCGATCACCGTTCCGGATCCAAATCTGCCAAGTAATTTCATGTAGGACTTACCGTTCCCGAGATATCAAAGATAACAAAAAAGTTTCCCGATTTTTACGAAACTTGCATGGCTTATGTATGTTAACGTATTCAACTCAAATATCAGCATACCACGCACCCAGTCTATTTTTTTCTATTTTTTATAGCCCTTTAATCAAGGAATTCGACCGTTGCCTGAATACCGCCAGCATCCACCATGCTGCAATCCGTAGCCTACAGCCATTGCAGCCTACATGGCTGTTTAGTCCTGCCGTAGCCCGGCTGCATCCGACAGCCAACACGCTGCGACGCGCGGCCTACAGCCATTGCAGCCTGCGTGGCTGTAAATTGCAGCCGCGGCCAGGCTGTCGCTAGCAGCCAGCGCGCTGCGACGCGCAGTGCGCAGCCTACAGCCATTGCAGCCCGCGTGGCTGTAAAATCCAGCCGCGGCCCGGCTGGCGCCAGCAGCCAACACGCTGCTACGCGCAGCCTACAGCCGTGGCAGCCTACATGGCTGTAAAGTCTAGCCACGGCCCGGCTGGCGCCAGCAGCCAACACGCTGCGACGCGCAGCCTACAGCCGTGGCAGCCCCGGCAGCCCGCGTGGCTGTAAAATCGAGCCGCGGCCCGGCTGGCGCCAGCAGCCAACACGCTGCGACGCGCAGCCTACAGCCATTGCAGCTAAGTTGGCTGTGCGTGGCAGCGTTTATAGGCTGCTTAGGGCAGCCAAAAGGCTTCTGTGCGCAGCTTCTGAAGCGTTTCACAGCCAAAGCGCTCCGTGAAACAGCCAGACCAGCCACTGCAGCGTGGATGGCTGCAAGTCCAGGATGTCGCTATGGCTGCGACATGGCTGCAACGCAGCCACGGCAGCCATGCATACAGCCAAAAAACGGTCCATACAGCCATGCGTCAGCCGTGCGTCAGCCTTTCTGCAGCCTTCTATTTTTACTCGGGTATTTAGCGCGAGTTTGCGTTAATTGTACCGTTTCTAACGTTTTTGTGTACCGTCTGTATTACGTAATTCACTCTAGTCACATTCAATAAAATACGAGCCGTCGTTTCTTAAATTAACTACAGCTTTAATTTCTCTGATTAACTTCCCGTCAGCGGTTAAGCTTACCGTTTAGTTGTTGTTTGTATAACGTAAAATCGTGTGCTCCTACGGGTATTGTTAATTATTGTTGTAAATTAACTTCTGTGTAAATTATAAACTGTAGATTTTCGCGGTCTCGTGTTCTCAAATTTCTCTAAATATATTTGTTGATAAACTTTAACTCTAATTATGGGTTCGAGCCCCACGTTTGGGTTTATTGATATTTGTATACAATAGTGTAAAGTTTTCCAAGAATATATCTTTATTCTCTTTCTCATAAATTGTTGTTGTTGCTTTTGTTTTGGGAAGCCCGGTCGGCGGTAACTCCAGGTGTTTTCCTCTTTTGGTACACTTTTAAGTGTGTAGATAACACTTAGCTTCCTGGCGTTACCTGGCGCCCTTGTAAAATTTAAAGTCGACCGGTCTACTCACCCCACCCTCTCTCTCAAAATCGTCGTTTTCTACCTACAGCACTACAAGGGATGAGACCCTTCTTCAACAACTGTACACAGTAAATTGAAATGGCAGAATCCGTAACGGTTCGGCACAGAAACCGCCAGGAAATGATTCTGAATTTGGTAGTCACAGAAACTGGCATGGGCTACCAGAAACTGACAAAGGCTCCACAGAATCTGGGATGGGCTCACAGAAACTGCTAAGGGGTTGCGGTCTCGCTGGCCAACCTAACCTCACTGTATCTCTGGATGCTTTTGTTGTTTTGGACATTATTTACATATTTTGATGAGTGTGCATACTTTTTCTTGCTTTGACAAGTCTATAAATTAATATTTTCCTTACGCGGTACATCTACACTCTTTATTTCCAATAATATAACATCTCAAAGTCGCGAGGTGGAGGGAATCGCAATTGACGATTACGGTGCAGTGTTGTCCGGATTCCGAGGCGAGTGCGCGGATTCCGTCGTCTGTGTGCAGAATGGGTTCGCCGTTGGCGGTTTTGGTGCAAAACCGCCCCGGATCTATTTACCTGTCGGTTTCTGCGATTTGGGGCTCTCAGACCACTACAGATTCTGCCATTTCAATTTACTGTGTATCTTTGTGTGCTCTCACCACTCAGTTTAGCTAGCCGGCGTGACATTAGGTTTGAAAAATCGGGAAGGGTGTGGATATATATCTTGGCACCAACTATGTTTCAGGTTTCAGGTTTGGTGCATTCTTAATCTATCATTCTTACGAAAAAAAAAAGAGTGGCCGAAATCAGAGTGTACCCCTGAAAATGTTCCCTTGTTAGTATCTTTTCCATGGCTTCACGCGGACCAGCCCGCCCTTAGGACTTGGAGACTCGCCCGGCGCTTGCCGCGCCTTTGCGCTTGCTAGTTTCTGATCCCTGCCTTCATTCCAGGAAAGTACACGTTCCGGGAGAGAACTGAAGAGAGTGCACTCATGAGTAAACTCTGAACAGAGCGCACTGAGTACACTGTTGAATTTGCTGAGTACGGGCCCGTGCTGTGAACTTCGTCTCGACCCGCGCCTGTGAGCGATCAGGTTCTGCCTTGGACAGTTTTCAGTAACGGCCGTTGAGCAGCGCGCTGCTGGTTTCTGACTTCTTGAATCCTTTTTTTCTTGACCCGAGGGTGGTATAATTCCTGCCTTTAATGACTTTTCCATGGTTGTGATTAGCGAAGCCTGTTACGACAAGACGCGGTCTGGCGTACACCTTCTTTGTCACGAGTACCGTAAGCTTCGAAAAAGAAACTTGATTCTTAAAAAGTGTAGGTAATAGCGTGTCTTGCCACAACAGGCTTCGCGGTGCATCCACGCGTGGCGTTAACACCCACCAACTGCTTATAACACTAAAGGCCTAACATTGATTATTGGTTTTTTAGGTTGTGCGCAGAATTAAATTGTATGAAAACGTTTTGCAGCGCCGCCCTGTTAATCTAACGGATGCAACTACTAGTCAATACTTTGAAAATACTATTGAATTTCGATGATAATGAAGCAAAGACTTAATTTATAATAATGTCAATATTGAGCATGTTCCTATTACGGTTGAAATGAAATTGAGTTTTGCAACACGTCCTATACGGTTTCTCTCTTCCTGTTTCCAGGCAGCTGTGCATGATTGGTGGTGCTTGGTGACTTTGCATGGCTTATCATGAAACTCAGATAAAAATCATATCTTGAAATGAGCAAATTCACATGGACCAAGGCAAATTGACTGCCCCCTGAAGTTTATTATCCTTGATCCAAGTCAATCTTCTGGTTTCAAGAATAGTTTATCTGAGTGTGGTCGGTGGAAGAGTCTTCGAGTCTTCGCAATTTATAAGAGCTTTATTCTGCCAGCCTGCTTGGGTCTCGAGTAGCACTTCTTCTCGTCGCTTCCCTGGCCAGTTCCTTGAAGTCCGTCTTGCTTGCAGGCCCCGTGAAGGTGGAGCGTGAGGAACGCCCTTCGTTCGGGGGACGGGGTTCGCGACTGGACGAGGACGCCGGCCCTGGAGACGGAGGCGAGGGTGAGTGGAGCAGCCAGGCCTTTGAGCTCGGTCACTTATTAGTGTTAAGAAACGAGGCTTGCTTCGTCTTTCGTCAGTACCAATGCAGCTATCAATGCAGTGGCAAGTACACTCTAAAGTTGGCATGCCCTGAAGACTCTCATTCCAGGAACGTGACGTCACGTTGAAAGAATCGCGACAAAATGTACCGTTCGTTTCAACGTGAATAAGCAGTTTATGGCTGATTCACGTCCAAACGAACGTGACACAATGGTGAAAGGAAAGTGACACTTTGTCACATTCATATCAACTTACTTTTTTTACTTTTTATAAGAGATTTATTGGGCATTGTTACATTACATATTCGCAGTTACACACACTAAATTCTTATGGACTTCTTTATGCATAGTTATTCATGCACAGATACGTCCATATGTTATGTATAACATTATGCATCACTGTGTACATTTTATGCAGGAGGACGCATAAAATGTCCACAGTGATGCATAATTTTTTACATACCTTATGGACGTTTCTGCGCATGCATAACTATGCATAAAAAATGCGTCCTTATGCATTTAAAAAGTCCATAAGAATTTAGTGTGCATTCAGTTGGGTCTGCCTTGTGGCTTTGCCCATCTTAGCTAATTCTAGCTGCTAAAGTTATGCTAAATTGCTATTTCTAGGGTTCTGAACTAAGTTTGGGGAAGCCCTTTGGGGCTTCTGTACTTAGGACGAGGGGTGCGGTTCCGGCCTCTCCATTGCCAGCACCGCGGTGAGCTAGGTCTCACGCCTTGGCGTGGGCTTGTTTGGTTTTTGAGCTTACATCTAGGTCCTTACGAGCTAGTGTTATGCTACAGGTAGGGAGTGTGCACTGCGTGATGTCGCCACTCCCCTGATAAGGTCATATGGTCCTCATACGGTCCTCCGCTGCGGCCGGCGACGGATTCGGGAGGGATTAGCTGCCCGGTCTCCCAGCATGCATCTCGGTTGCGCAGACCTATCTTCCATATGACCTTATCCCCTGAGCCCCAAACAAATAGGTCGCGAGCCAGTTGCGGCGAGACATTGAGGCATCATGTGCTGTGGACTACGTCGCATTTCACAGCCTCGGCTTGCCCCACTCGGTGCCACACTAGTTTGTGTCTAACTCGGATGAGACACAATGCTGGGAGGAATGGGACATTCAGTCACTTTCCCCCATTTGCTGAACCCATTTAACTCGGCACTTTGCATTCCCTTTTCGTCTGAAAGTGTCCAAACTCACAGAAGCCTTTATATTATTTCTAATTCAAAGATGGTTAGTCTGACGTGGATAGGATTTGGCCTGACTGCAGTAGTTTACAAGTTACCGAGGGGGCAAAAACTCGGGATTTTCGTGTGCACATGATTCGGAAAACGCAATGATTGCGCATGGTTTTAATTGATTCCATGGCTGATTCTGCCTTCTTTCGCGACGCACCAGGGTGACGTCGCGCGTGATTGTGTGTGACTGTGTTCGGAAAGAAATGGTTTCGGACTGATTTTGCCTGGTTTCGTGTGATTCTGCCTGATTTCGGTCGATTTTAGTGATTTTGGTTGATTTCGGATTGCTTGATTTCGCGTGATTCTCAATGATTCGCGTGTGATTTCGGGGGCCGTGTACACTTGATTGCGCGAGTTTTTGCCCCCTCGCAAGTTACCCGTGATAGGTGTTAAGCGGGTTTGCTTACCTAATTGCACCACATTTTGGCCCACCTCGCAGGCGATCCTTGACTGAAAATGCTGGGTCTCAATGGGTCCTAACCCCTCTTTAATGGGTCTCGACCCATTCGGAATGGGTCTTAACCCATTCTCAAGGGGCCAGAACCCATTCCAAATGGGTTTCGACCCTTCTAAATGGGTAAGAACCCATTGCCGAATGGGTTTTGTCTGCTATGGGCCGATTTGCATCATTGCAAATTGAGTGTCGTTTACGGATGTAAAATGCTTTGAGTTTTATTCGACTCGACTTTTCACGGGCATTTTTGGCTGAGCGATAGCGAAGCCAGTTACTCAGATGGGGTTAAAAAGTTTTTCCTGTCTGCGTGCGTGCGTGTGTGTGCGTGTGTGTGTCCGCACTACTCCTCCTGAACGGCTCGGCCGATTTTGGTGAGATTTTGCACACTTTTTAGGTATATCCTTGGCTCGGCACACGCGAAATTTCACTATCCTAGCTCAACTGGTTCAGTTTTTATAGTCGAAAAACACCCAAAAAACGGCGAAAAATCGAGTTTTCTGCAGACACAGTAAATTGAAATGGCAGAATCTGTAGTGGTCTGAGAGCCCCAAATCGCAGAAACCGACAGGTAAATAGATCCGGGGCGGTTTTGCACCAAAACCGCCAACGGCGAACCCATTCTGCACACAGGCGACGGAATCCGTGCACTCGCCACGGAATCCGGACAACACTGCACCGTAATCGTCAATTGCGATTCCCTCCACCTCGCGACTTTGAGATGTTATATTATTGGAAATAAAGAGTGTAGATGTACCGCGTAAGGAAAGTATTAATTTATAGACTTGTCAAAGCAAGAAAAAGTATGCACACTCATCAAAATATGTAAATAATGTCCAAAACAACAAAAGCATCCAGAGATACAGTGAGGTTAGGTTGGCCAGCGAGACCGCAACCCCTTAGCAGTTTCTGTGAGCCCATCCCAGATTCTGTGGAGCCTTTGTCAGTTTCTGGTAGCCCATGCCAGTTTCTGTGACTACCAAATTCAGAATCATTTACTGGCGGTTTCTGTGCCGAACCGTTACGGATTCTGCCATTTCAATTTACTGTGGATAGATCACTCCTGTCTTGGAGAAAGGGGGATCTGGGGGGCGGAGCCCCCCAGCCTCGACAAGTTAAAACGTTACAAGGGTCAAGATCGTGGTATCTGTAGATGAAGCAACTCTATCTAGAATGAAGGGGGGCCTGGGGGGCGGAGCCCCCCAGCATGCAACAAGTAAGAAGTAACCGACAATGGACAAGGCAATGCCTGCCGAAGGCAGGCTAGCGCCGCAGGCCAAGGTAGGTACGCCAGGCGCGCATTGGAGGAACAGGCCGCGAGACATCGCGAAGCCTGTTACGACAAGACGCGGTCTGGCGTAAACCTACCTTGTATTTTGAAAGTAGCATACACTCCAAGTTCAATAATGTTTTCCGATTCGCATTGACACGCTTACATGTTTGATCCATGAAGCGGAAGAAGGGAATGATTCGACTCATCTCCAAATTGACTCTTACCCTAAAATTGTTCCTCAGGATGGTTTGCGTCATTACACCAAATTGTTTGACCCAATTCCTAACAGTTTAAGAGAAAATCTACTTAAAAAATGGATATAACTCAACTTGACCCCTTTTACGGTCTAGATTTTATGGGAAAATGGAGGCAACTCAACTAAAGTCCACATACCTCCATTGCACAAAATGGCAAAAGGAGATAGGTAGCTGGGCTTGTGTCTTCAAGAATCAAATGTAAAAAGATTCAACTCAACTTAACTCCCCACCACTAGTTAGAAAAAAGAGGTAACTCCAAAAATGTTCCACTGAAATACTGACTCTACGCAGACCTCAGCTCCACCTAAATTGTCTCCAAATTCCGCCTTGTTTGGGAGAACTATATAAACATGGTTCGATAGTCCATTCCAACGTAAAGATTTAAGGGGGCAATACACTGAAACTGGCCCAAAACTGATCCACGAAGCGGAAGAAGGGGTTTAGTCGAGTTGATTCAGTGACCTCTTATCAGTCTATCATGTAAACATGAGCGAAAATTTGGACCAAACATAAGTATGGTGAGACACGTCCCATCCTCTTGCATCTATTTTTAGATGACATTCCCCACCTGTTCTTCCACCTGCAAGCTTTAGGCCTTGCAAAAGTGCACGGATTCAACTGGACTTACCCCCTTCTTCCGCTTCGTGGATCAACTGACTTGTGTGATTGCATCCATACGTGTTGTTGTGCGTGTTTTTAAGTTTTCATATGTCAAGGCCTTACGAAAAGAAGCATTTGAAGCCCAGAATGGCGTCGATCGGATGTCAGGAAACGGAGCAGCATCCAATCTAATTTTCCTCAAAAATCGACCCTTAGTCCCTTAGTCTGCAAAAAAGAAGGTATATCAACCCAATTTGCGCCAAAATGTAGGTAATTTAAGCGGCTATCACATGAACTAGGATTATGAACATCGAACGATCAAAGGTACAAAACTTTACGAAAAAACCTGTTCTGATCATTTTTGCAAAATCCTCAAAAAATGTTTCTGGATGAAATTTGGTACTTTCGGTGGCTCGATGTTCATTATCCTAGTTCATGCGATAGCCGCTTCAATTACCTACATTTTGGCGCCAACGGGGTTGATATATCTTCATTTTTGCACACTGAGGGACTCCCGCCAGTTCGACTAGTGACGAAAATTCGGCGCTGCTCCGCTCCCTGACGTCCGATCGACGCCATTCTGGGCTTAAAATGCTTCTTTTTGTAAGGTCTTGACACACGAAAAGTTTGAACAACGCTCAACATCGCGTATGGAAGCAACCGCACAAGTTAGTTTTTAGCCATTTTCAGTGTATTGCCCCCTTAAATCACAGAAACCGTCTACAAAGTGATGCTACACTTTTGAAAATTTTCACAGTTATTTCTTCTTAGGCTTTCTTGACAAAAATGCAATTCCATCATTCATCTGATTGGATAAGGTTTACCCTGCAAACAGTTTTTTGTTTTTCCTATAAAAGGATGAAAATTAAGTCATCCCCTTCTGCCGCTTCATGGATCATTTGGTTTAGGTCGATTTCTCTTCACTTCATATCATCGTCATTGAAAGACGCTGTCTATGTGGGAAAAACAGGGTTTTCGACAAAGGTTGTCCAAATCAAACCAAACTTCGTTTTTGGGTTCTCCTTGACCCAAAGACATGTCAAAAAAAATTTGAAATTTTTTCGACAAAATTTGTCGAAGTAGGAAATTTTTTTTATTTTACTCAAAAGACGCGGCAATTGATTTTGAAAAAAAAAAATTTTTTTCAAAGGTCAACTAAGGAGGAACATTTTGAGTTGTGTCCCATGTCCTGGTCTTGCTTAGTTTAATTGATACCCACCATTTTACGTTACGTGTTTTTCTCATTTTTACCTAAAAAATTAAAAAAATGCCCCTTTGCCAGTCAATTTGATTATAACTAGAGTCAAACTGAAGATATTTTATCTTTGTGAACCTCCTTCCATGCCTAACACACTATCTGGTTCCCCAAATGAACACAGTGTGTCCCAAAATACTATAACGGATCATTTAACATTACACTTTGGAATAACGAGCACCGTGTCTATTGCTGGAGCAGTAGAGCAGCCCAACTATTTGTCACTGAAACAAGATTATTATTTTTTATCCACTTGTGAAGGATGAATCGTTTTAATCTTTAATCTTCACAAGTGGATAAAAAAAATAATCTTGTTTCAGTGACAAATAGTTGGGCTGCTCTACTGCTCCAGCAATAGACACGGTGCTCGTTATTCCAAAGTGTAATGTTAAATGATCCGTTATAGTATTTTGGGACACACTGTGTTTATTTGGGGAACCAGATAGTGTGTTAGGCATGGAAGGAGGTTCACAAAGATAAAATATCTTCAGTTTGACTCTAGTTATAATCAAATTGACTGGCAAAGGGGCATTTTTTTAATTTTTTAGGTAAAAATGAGAAAAACACGTAACGTAAAATGGTGGGTATCAATTAAACTAAGCAAGACCAGGACATGGGACACAACTCAAAATGTTCCTCCTTAGTTGACCTTTGAAAAAAATTTTTTTTTTTCAAAATCAATTGCCGCGTCTTTTGAGTAAAATAAAAAAAATTTCCTACTTCGACAAATTTTGTCGAAAAAATTTCAAAATTTTTTTGACATGTCTTTGGGTCAAGGAGAACCCAAAAACGAAGTTTGGTTTGATTTGGACAACCTTTGTCGAAAACCCTGTTTTTCCCACATAGACAGCGTCGAAAGTGCCTTTGGCTTGTGCTGGCGTTGCAGGCCCCGTCCCGGCGGAGACCCTGCAGCTGGTCATCAGCGGCACCTTCTCGCTGGCTGGCCCGGCCGGCGGTGCGGGGCAGGTGGAGCAGGCCTCGCGGCGGCAGCGAGGCGGGAAGGCGCGGCTCGCGTACAAGTGCGGGGAGTGCGGCAAGAGTTTCCGGGCCGAGGCGGACCTGCGGAAGCACCTGGCGGGGCACTGCAAGGCGGGGCGGCACGCGTGCGGAGTGTGCGGCAAGCAGTGGACTTGGGCTGCCGATCTGGAGAGGCACGCAAGGATCCACACCGGGGAGAAGCCATACCAGTGTGACGAGTGTGGGAAGAAGTTTAACCGGGAAAGCAGTCTCATCGTGCACAAGAGGATTCATTCTGGGGAGAAGCTTTTCGAGTGCGACGAGTGCGAGAAGAAGTTCTCTCATAAACATGTACTAAACGCGCACAAGCGCACTCACACTGGGGAGAAGCCCTACGGGTGTGACGTGTGTGGGAAGAAGTTTAATTACGATAGCCACCTCACTGTGCACAAGAGGATCCACACTGGAGAGAAGCCGTACGGGTGTGACGTGTGTGCGATGAAGTTCGGTCAAGGAGCTCACCTCGCTGTACACAAGCGGATCCACACTGGAGAGAAGCCTCACGTGTGCAAGGTTTGCGGGAAGAAGTTCCGACAGCAGTCAACACTACGCAAGCACGAGTCCATTCATTAGTGACAGTAGTTCAGTGTGAAGTTGTGCAAGTGCGGCCTTTGTGAAAAGCTGTGAGGCGAAGGTCACTTTCGCTTTGACGCGGCGGAGAGGACTTTTGAATGCGACGGGGCCAGGATGTAGTCACATCGTCACTGGCGCAAGCGCACTCTTTCGCTAATACTGTTCCAAAACTTTTTTTTATGATTATTTTCTGAAAGCGATTATATGGTTTTCTTTGACATATTCTGCCGCAATTATCGGCTTTACTCATTTGACACTTAATTGTCGGATCGCACAGCAATATTTTGTCATTAATAAATATGGTTGCTATTGTGAATTTGTTTAAGTGATTTACTTTTAAAACTGCGTTGTTCTGTTCCCAGAGCCACTGAACGCTTTCACTCGAACGATGTTCATTGCCTCCAACTGGCGTCTATTTCCCAACGTGGCTGCATTTGCGTTTTGTTTCAGGACCGGGACTCTCACTGCAGTCACGCTGAAACGAACCTCACAAACTGCACTCTAAAAAATATTGTGGTAGAAATCCTATAAAAGTATCGGACGCATTTAACCTAATCGGTATAGGAATTTTCCCACACAGGACATGGTAAATTTACCATCTGCCGATATGGCAAAAATCCTATACGTGTTGTTAGGTTTCTACTATATTAGGGTGTGGGAAAACTACTACACCGTGTATGGTAAAAATCCCATACGAGTTGTGGGATATTTTCGTTCCGTGATGTGGTAAAACCAGGGGTCTCCAACTCGTTGGCCCGCCGCTGGCCCGCGGGCCCGGCGGGCCAAGCCGGGCACGCTGTGGCCCGCCCGGTGCGACCGGAGCGAGAGAGACAGGTAGTAGGTAGCGGAGTGGGGGTACTGGCGGGTGGAGTGGGGGACGGCTTCACAGCGGCAAAGCGCTCTGAGATCCGGAGTGGGGGAAGAGCGGCGAGTAGCTGCGGCAGCAGTAGCGCTGGCCCGGGCTCGGGCCCGCGGGCCCAGCTGGGCCAAATGGCCCGCCGGGCCTGAGTTGGAGACCCCTGGGTAAAACTCCTATACACACTTAGGAAGTCTTACTTTGAGAAATAGTGAACACATCCCGAGAGATCATGGCGCCAGCGCCACTTCAGTTGGGGAAGCATTTTAAAAGTTAAAGTGGGATTCTGTCTCCGATAGAGGAAATGACCCACCCAAGAGGCAGTTCAATCCACTCCCGGGCTCTGTACCTCAAGGCGGATCTTGCGTGCACCCAACCTAATGGCCGACCGCAGTCGCCAGCGAGTGCCAACATGGACAAGCGTTTTTCTCGACTTTAGTGTAATATTTTGTTTAAAACTGAAAGCCAACGGCTAGGGCTGACACTTACTTAGGCAACAGATGATATAGTTGTCGAAAATTATTTACTTTAGTAACATAAATCGGAAATACTTAGTGGTGAACGGGCACGGCGCTCCAAGCGCCACCTAGCGGCAGGTTTGTGCAACCTGACGTCAGGCGGCTGACAGTGGACCATACCCTTACCCACAGCTCACCTTTTAGGTACAAGGTAACTTAACAATAGACGATGTCAAAATGCTTTGGAGCGCTACGTTTATTTTCAGCTTCATAATAATATCACTTTAAATTTCGCAAGGATTCAAAACCATGGCTCATCTACATGAGTCGTTCTGAGTTGCCGCTATTTTCAGAGACAAACCCATTTCAAGTTTTAATGAAGAAGTCAAAATTATCTAAAACCGAATGTGATAATGGGGCAGAACAAGATACAAAATAAGTTTAAACCGGTTTTAACGAATCGTCTACTGCCAATTTCTATTAACGGTTTGACGTCACATGAGCTTTTCTTTACTTTTCTCTGAGCAGCTTTGTCGCCTTAGTCATTGTGCCGTTAGCCTGTTATGAATATTGAACGTCTGTCTTGGTCCCCTCTCTTCTGAAAAAATATTTCAGAATTGTTTGCGATTCTTACTAATAGGTTGTAGGAAAAGCAGTATACAATGGCCTGAAGTAATAGGATTTCTACCAAAAAGTGTAGGAAAAAACCAAACATGAGTATAGGAAATCAAATTCCTATACTAGGTTCGGATTTTTACTACACCACATTGGCAAAAGAACGAAAAGCATAGGAATTTTCCAAATCACGTATAGGACTGTCGTTTCCCATACCGAAGTTGGTACTTTTACCATACGACGGTGTAGTAGAAATGCCATTATTTTTTAGAGTGTGCCACGCTGCTCCAAGCAGACCCGAGTTCGTTTGCACGTGAAGAAGCTGATTTACGGCCGATTCGCATGCGAAGGAACGCGGCAACGCTCGAAGGAGCGCAACATTTGGTGGCGCTTGCTTGAACGCGTCGTCACGCTCCTGCGACGAGGAGTGTGGCAAGGGAAAGGGCGCCGACTTCCTGCCACTTCGAGTTTGCGATGCGCCTCTTTCAAGCGTGCGCTTGCACTACTAGCTTCGAGTTGTTAACGTTGCGTTGCAGTTAACTGTGGTCTTATGATTTTAAAACAAGGTAGGTTTACGCCAGACCGCGTCTTGTCGTAACAGGCTTCGCGATGTCTCGCTGCCTGTTCCTCCAATCCACGCCTGGCGTACCTACCTTGGCCTGCGGCGCTAGCCTGCCTGCGGCAGGCAATGGCTTGTCCGTTGTCGGTTATTTTTTAACTTGTTGAATGCTGAGGGGCTCCGCCCCCCAGACCCCCTACATTCTAAATAGAGTTGTTTTATCTACAGATAACACGATCTTGACCCTTGTCACTTTTTAACTTGTCGAGGCTGGGGGGCTCCGCCCCCCAGACCCCCCTTTCTCCAAGACAGAAGTGGTCTATCTGCAGAAAACTCTATTTTTCGCCGTTTTTTCGGTGTTTTTCGCCTATAAAAACTGAACCAGTTGAGCTAGGATGGTGAAATTTCGCGTGTGCCGAGCCAAGGACATACCTAAGAAGTGTGCAAAATCTCACCGAGATCGGCCGAGCCGTTCAGGAGGAGTAGTGCGGACAGACAGACCGACAGACAGACCGACA